TGCAAGTCGTAAGGTCGTAGGCCGTAATTTCCCGGAATCATACGATATTTAATGCAGGATTGAGCAATTCAGAGGCATGGCTTGTAGGCCGCGTGATTAGTAATGGTTCCAGGCTTCTGAGCTTATTTTCCTTTTTTTCCCCCAATTATTTGACCACCGGCAAGGTCGCGCCATCCAGCTATTTTCCGGGGAAAATAGCAGGGGTGCCATTTCCCCATTCCGAAAGATAGTCACACTGGCCAGACTCTGGCAAGATGCACTCAGGTGGCCGTGCTCCACATACAGCTACAATGTGGCATACCTGCCAGCATGTGTTGGGGAGGGGTGGATCGGGGTCTAGCCCAGGCCTTCGTGTAGGTCTAGCATAGAACCAGCTTCTCCTGTACATGCTGGGTAGGTAAAGTAGGCGGGTGCAGCTCCTGACATGGCTGGCGGTTGGAGACCCTACATATGTACGGCAGTCGGGTACTGGTTGTCAGACTCACCCATGTTGTGTGTCAGGGGTGTAAATATCAGAACCGCAGCAATGATGGCCGAAATCATGCCAAGACCTGCGTACTAATGCTTTTTGGTTGGCGGAGATAGAGGTAAGATTGGATAGGGGTATGTATTGGTGGATAGATGGCTTTCATTTCCGTGAAATGTCAGCAGTTAGGGAGTATCGCAACAACCAAGTAATGACGGCACTTGTCACTGGTCCGAGGCCTTATTATCCCAATAATAATAAAAATATAACCGTTCAACTCTCGATGATGCACAGCACCTGGAGAGGCGCTTTTGGGGCGGGGCCCCAGCATGACGCGCCCAGGGGCCCCCACACCTGGTGTGTGTGTGTGTGTGTGTGTGTGTGAGAGAGAGAGAGAGAGAGTGTGTGTGTGTGTGTGTAACGGACCAAACATAATTGCAAGGTATCTCGCCTGTAGCCAACAAAAGTCGTATGAGCACATACAAGTTTGGCTTCCTCCATTGACCGAGGTCAAAGTCACATTAACGCCTCTCGAGCTAAATGTAATCTCAAAAGGTGCCGCGTATCTCATAATTGAATTCTGAGATGATGGGGTATGATAACTCGAACACCCAGCTTGCGTTACCATTTGCCCACAAGGGCATTCCGACTTGCCACAAGCAGGCCTAAAATTTGCTTTCATTTCTCTATGAAGTATGCAAGCTGCTCGTTTGTGCAATTACTTTGGCCAATGCTCGGGGCCTCCGAAGACTTGAAGTGTGCCGCGATGAAGCTGATAAAGCTCGCGGCTGTTGGGTGGATTGCTGAAGCCGCTGGCGCTTCGGGGATAAACATCACAGATAGGACCGGAAAGTGCTGAGGGCTTTGGGGAAGTGTGTCGAGCTAGGCTTTGAGGGGGCCGCCAAGGGCGCATGAGCAGGCGCCTGAATGGGCCAGGTCAATGCCTGAAGGCGTGCCATTGGCAGTTCATACGGTGCTGTACGGTGCTGTTTTCGTGTGTGTTCGGAGCAGCAGACTGCAAAGCTAACAGGCTGGCAAGCTGCGATTGTGTCTGCTGAGCGTTGAGCAGCCGGCCTGGACCGCGGACTTGGCGGCCGAACCCTGCTGTGTGCCGATAAGGGCACCTCAGACTCATACGTTTATGCCCAAGCAAGGGGCTGTCAGTGGCAGGTCGCGGACCTCCCGACTACGTGCAACGGCCAATGACTCTTAGCCGTGTCTGCTAGGTTCCAGAGAGACACCGTCTCTTCAACAGGTTATGAGCCCCGGCTTCCTGCCTCCTGCGCTCTGACAAGCATACCTCCCACAGCATCAGTACTGCTGCACAAGCACAGCTCCCACCACACGCACACCTCCCCACACTACCCATCTATTGTCACACTTGCCGCCCTAGCTACCGGCCTGTACGGATGCAGGGGGTGTAGTATCCTGGGTTTCACGGGATCTGGCATCCGCCCATCGTTTCTTTTCTGCAAATGATGTGATACAACAGAGCCCCCCCTTTTTCCGGCTTCGAGGAAGCCGACACAGCTTGTCAACGTCGTTGTTACAATGCTGGGCAGCAATCGGTCTTGTTGCCGCCAGCCAACTATTGTGCAGACCGCAGCCGCAGCTTTGCTTGCAACCGGCTGGCATGCATGCCGAGAAAAGAGTCTGCGCAACTCATGTGCAAGCAACTATCCATCATTAACTGATCGAAAGACATATACAACCCGGATAATGATATACCGGTATGGCGATGCAAGCTACTTTCCAAGGCCCGCTCACTATACACACCGATGCAAGTTAAGTATGCGCTATGCCGTGGCTCATTATTCATAAACTGCATTACCTATGGGTCTTGTAAGATTTTTGTTCGTAACGACAAATCTACATGCGGCGGAGATTGTGGTATTTGGCCGCTGAAAATACCTCCCGAGATGCTAATCAAGCGCTTCGCGCGTATTAGTAGTTGTAGCTTAGGTGCGGCAGGAGCAAAGTGAGTATAGCCTCTAAGCTAAGTTATGTACGGCAGCCGTATGGCTTGCTGAGATTTCGAATTTACTATTTCAGCTGACAGCTCATTCTGCAGTAGTGTAAGGCCCTTGGCAGCCCCGGTTCCGCCTCGCCCTGTCCTATCCGGGACCTCGAACGCAACCGTACAGCAAGCCATGAAGGCTATAGGACATAATTGATATGTGTGCCGTACTGTGTACCGGCTACTACAGAGACCTGCTGTGCATATCATCATCATCATATATAATATTATATTCTCGGACAATGGATATCCTGGCGGTTCCTGGCATTTGCCGTAAAGCCAACAGCGCGAAAACTGCTGTCTGCAGACAGCTGGCTGGGGCATCCTAGCCAGTAACTAAAAACAAATTCATGACCGTCATCCATTACTCCTGATGCTTGAGGTGCCACACATAAATGCATAGGTAATAACATAGTAATCGCAAAAATGCATTATAAACAGTAGGCAGCAGGCCAACAGGAGCGCAGTGTAGACAAACCAGCCATGCACCACGAACATACAGACAGGCACCAGCTGCCAAGTTTGCCGTAACCAGCCTGATAGGCGAGAGGTGCATGGGTAATGTGGTATTGTGTGCTCGTCCATCCGTTCGTCCTAAAGCAACCAACAGCGCCCAGGCGCACTCAGCAGAAACGCTTTGTCTGCAGACAGGTATGATGATCAGAGGTGATCGCGGTAACTGGGCCGGCTGGTGTATGTCATAGGGCTGTAAACTGGAGAAGTGTCTATGTCTATATGCGATCTATTTCTCGGTCGGATCATACGACCATACGATGGCTCCGTCTAAAGACCATACAATACTTTATAGACGCTTGGCACGCATACACGCACGCACCATACGTGAGTAGCAAGCAGACAGCTAACGAACGCCTCTAAGATATTAAAGCTCACGCTACACGTCACACTACGTGCATGTGTAAGGATCCGATTGGAATCCGGAAATCATTGCACGGTTTAATTGCAAATTGCAAGGAAAGCCTGCTTGTATGCTAGTAAGCTCCAAACTAGCTCCAAACTAGGAAAGACCAACCACAAAAGATGCTGCAGACGAAATGTCATGGTGATGTGTTTGGAGGTTTATAAATAAAGTGGCAAGCACAACATTTACTCGTGCCAGCGTCCTCCGTGTACGGCACCCGCTCCAGGCCTTTGCCCCCACAGAAATCCCCTGCCAAGCGCTAGGGGCCTGAGGGCAAAACACACACCTCAGGTGCCCTCCCTGGCAGCGTGGCACTAAATCGAACTAGAGACCGCGGTCACGGAGGATGGCCGCCGACCTGCAACATTGTCGGCCATTAATATATATTAGGTTTACTTTTTCCGCACACACAATCGCATGGTATTACTGTCTTTTCCTTACCGTCCCAGGTGCATATGCCCCCATTCGATAGACATATATATACATAGTGCCTATCCATGCATCCGTTGTCGCGTCATACGACTGTAGCATCGACAAAACATGTGGGAGAAAATGTCGTGACACCATACACGCATCACAACAGATGATTTCATTCTCCCTGCCTTCGCTCATGGCTTTTCCTCGTCGTCTTGTCCTTTAGTTTGTATTGGGGGTATGTCGGGTCATCTAACAACAAGAGCCTGTGTACGCCCAACAAACGCACATGACTCAAGATAACCACATAGAGCGCCTAAATGCGGTCCTCAAATACGGTGACACGTTCTACTTTGTTCAGGTGCACAGTACTTACTAATCATGGTTGCGCAGGCAATGCATCTCAGACATGAATTACACAAGACACGTACATGATGCTGGCCGGCGAGCCCAAGCCTAGAAAGAATCAACCATGCATTTGCGAGCAAGCCAGCCAGGATCTATGGACATAGCTAATGAAGCTCCAACTAATCCATTAACTACAGGAAACAGTTAGGATCCTGCAGACATAGCTGGAAAGGCGCGACCATTGCCCCCCGGAGATCCCGGGTTCGATACCCGTTCGGATCAAAGGCCTTCCGATAGTGGAAGGCATTACGCCCCTAGTTGATGGACGATGGTGACCGGGGATAAAGTAAACCTGCGAGCCGACCAGAAATGGAGATGGGCCGCTGTCGACCCGGCAGATTCCGTTGGATGCTGGTGGTGGGTGCGGAACCTGAGCGATCCACTGAGAAGTTGACTAGGGTGACTGGATGAGGGTGCCCCGAAATACCGGGGAAGGCAGGGTTTCGCAGGGTAGCTGCCACGGCCGAAGATACACCCCCCTGTTTCACACATCATAATTGGTGCCTGCATACGCAATTTGAAATGAATCCCCCCCTCTTGCAGCCACCCTTGGTCTGCCGCAGCTAGCGTAGGCCACTGTTGCTTCTGCTTCTGCTTCTGCTCCTCGAGCTGCTCCTGCTTGTGATAATGTATTGGAATGTGAGGGATTGCCCCGAAGGTCCTGCTCACTGATATCCGGGAGCCATACCCGGACAATGGACTGCCGCGATCCGTTCTCCAGCGGGACAAGGGCAACATCACCATCCCGAGCATCAGCAGCGGCTGCAGCAGTGAACTCAGCCCGAGGAGCAGTCGAATGGCTGCAAACAACGGCCACCGCCGCCTTCCTGTCCTGTCCTATCCAGTGCGGACTGCACCAGCTGCTGTTTGAATTGAAGCTGCTGACCTTGCTGCAGGACAGGCGGGGTGACTGCGATGATCATGGCTGCAGCTGCTCCTCCTGCTCCTCCTGTTGCTGATGAAGTTGCTGAAGAGGCATACGGCCGTATGTGAATGCATGCAGGGAACGACATGCGCGGCGCATGTGTGTCAGGGAACTTATGTGGAATGGTACGGCAAGCAGAGTGCAGCAGTGCACAATACAGCGTGCATACCACGCACGGTTGACGAGCTACAGAGCCTGGTGCGGGGCCTGGTGGGTAGATGTGTAGGCCCAAACTAATTGCCGCAGACAGCCCTGAATAAATTATCCATATGGCATGAGGAAAAGCTTCTATGCGCCTGTTGCTCGCACAAGACGAATGTGCAGCTGACAGCACGAAACAGCCACAACTTCTGACCAGGATCGGCCATCCAACCTACCTGCCCATGCTCACATAGCACCCCCCCCTGGCCCCCTGCTCGCGGTGACCTCCTTTGCTAGCTTATTTGTTGCTTCTCTCTACAGGCTCCCGCAATTATCTAAGCCTACAAATCAAGTGCAGGATAACCCAAGATTCCTCTTGCGGTTTTCAGGCACTACACATGAAACGAGCACAAAGTGTGGCTGCTGGCTAAACGACTGTATGACCATACGCAATACCGGGCCCTCCTTTGTCTGCAGCTTCCCAGCTATGTATGTCGAACTTGCCTCGCCCATCCGCCCCTTTTCACTACTGACCAGTATCAGCGCCAGCTCCTTGATTGTCTCCGCAGCTGCGGGCCGTCGGTCTGGATCTGTGTCCCAGCAGGCTACCACCAGACGACCCAGCTTGTGAGGGCAGCGCTTGGAGGCCAGGATTTCATCCAAGGGAGGGCGCATACCGTTGAACGCTACCTGTGTATGCGGACACATACTCACGCTGAGGAGCGGCTGGGACTTCCTGAATACATTGCTGGATGGAAACCCAGGACAGAGGGAGGACCTCCAACCTTGCCGCCTGTCCTGCAGGGCCCCACATGTGTGCATCTCGGGGCACAGTGGTCCGCTGGACTGTTGCGTATTAGCATGGAGGGTTCATTGAACCTCCGTACATATCTTTGCACTTGCAGGGCTCCTGCCAGACCAGGTGGTCAGCAGGAGAGCTAGCGGTCTAAGGCAGCAGTTAAACGGCCGGTTCACGCAGCATGCCACTGCAGCCATGAGACTGTTCGTGATCAGACCATCACCATCAGTCCGATTGCACCCACCATCAGGCCGATTGCCAGCGGGTTCAGTCCAGGCCAGGGCCTCCTGCAGGTCAGCATCTCCCACAGCAGCACACCCAGCGCGAACATGTCCTGGTGAGGGTGCAGCAGGGCGCGTGGCGATGACGGAGGCGTCAGTACCACCACCACCACACACACACAAACATGATGGCTACGGCGTCATGACGAAAGGCATGGGATACATTGACCATGCAGAGACGCCAGCCATTGCTTGCTTGCCTTTTTGTCAGTGATGGCGGGGGCGGCTAGGTTGTGGCACGATGCGGCCTAGCCTGCCTGCTTGCTGGACCCGGGCACAGGATAAGCACAAAAAACGGTCTGTAGTGTAGGCCGCTAGCTAGTCAAGTAGCCTAGGTGATCGCCTTTGTCGACTCAGGGCACGTAAATCGTCGGCCTGATAGCTCCCTGCATCTGGGATACGACCTGCAACTGGGATATGAGATACCCCTTCCTGCACTGCGGTATGTAGGTAGGTCCCCTCATCCGAAGCGCCTCTCTCCCTCCCCCTTTCGCTGGATCCCTCCCTTACCGCTTTATGTGTGATCTGACTGTTTCGCAAGTCGAAGCACTCCTGCGTGCATGCATATGTGCAGCAGCAAGTTGTTCGGTACATATGCAAGCAGCAGGCAGATAGAGAAACCTAGACATAGGCAGACATGGTAAAACTGGTAAGCAGGTGCAGACAGCGTCTTCAAAAACTTTGATCGTCTATAGTTGGCACCCTGGTATAGTGGAAACGGACGATCCTTATCTAGTATACCACGTGTAGTAGCTGGCCGCTGAAAAGGCCTCTTGAGATGCTGGTGGGCGCGCTTAGCGCGTGTTTGTAGACGTTATGTGTGCCGTACTGAGTACCAGCTACTACAACAGGGCACGGTGTATAGATGATCAGATGTTTTCACGTAAAGAAGGTAGGCGGAATGAAAAACATGTCTACATACCCGGATAGAAATGGTGAACGGAATGGCACAGAGGAAACGGGTGCAGACTACTGCACCGAGGATGCTTGGAAATGGCGGCGCGAGAAAACCGGCAGAGCTTCCAAAACGCTGGCAGAGCAAAAGCATCTCCAAAGCGGATTAACGCCTTTAACGTAGTAACGCTGGGCGGCTACAAATACAGCTCGGTGCTGGAGGTGGAAACCATTGACCTCGTCGTCCATTGGCCCGCGATGTCAGATCGGAATGACTTAATGGCCCAGATATATGGACCATTAGGAACAGCTATTCGATCGACACTGGGGCAGCATTTCAGCTCTGCCGGGTTCAACTGGTGGGGTGGCCCATGCATTGAGAAGCGGCTTTTATACGCAGCTGGGGCTGAGAGCAACATCGCGATGGACTTTTCCATTTTGGTGCCAAAAGGTGGATTGGCGTACTTGTTCGAGGCCTATGGTGAACGCATTCGTGTGAGTGCGGTGCAGTTATGCCCCAACGAGGACCCCATCGAGGTGGAGCTGCAAATCAAAAACCTGCATAAAGTCTTGCCAGGGGAGGTTAAGGGATTACCCACCAAACTCAGCGTCCACGGGGTCGCTGAGTTCCTCGCCAGGGCCTACAGCACCAGCCATGCTCCCCGCACGGCGACGGAATTTCTCAACCTGATCCCCACGGCCATGGCCGACACTTGGCAGCTCTCCCTGCCCCGTGATCACCGGGGCTTGCCATGTGAGATGCCCTATCAGTACTATGGGTGGATGGGTGAGCAGCACCAGGTCGGCTGTTTAAAGGCCGCCAAGCTGTCACACACTTCGAGGTGAACCCCTACCTTATGCCCCGCTGTCCAACCCCCCGGGAGGAGCTTCACAAGCAGCAGCGGATGCAACGAGAGGCGGCGAGGCACCACACCCGGCAAACCCACCCAGCAGACCCTTCACCGCCAATACCACCCATGGCAGCATTCAGCGACCCCACCCACCCGGCAACCTACCCTGGACCCCCGGGACAGGCGGTGGAGCCGCAGGTGTCAGGGTTACAGGTGGCGGCAACAGAGGGAAATGCAGCGGAGATGCTTTAGCCTAAGCCCCGAACTGGCCAGCTCAAGCAACGCCTGCAACACATCTCGGAGGAGGAGTGGAAGGCATGGCCAAGGCAAACACAGCCTGCAGAGCCTCAGCTGCAGCCAAACGGGAAGCCACCGCGATTTCGGGGAAGTCAGCCAAGCTCAAGAAGCAGCAGGGAAAAAAGAAGCAACAAGCGACTTTGGAGGCCCTGACTGACAGCGACATGGAGGTGCTAGTCGGACTATGAGGATGCAGTGGAGGCCCAGGTGACGGAGTTATGCAGTCCAGGGGCACCCCAGGAGGATTCCCTGACTCCAACCCTTCAGCTGCAACTCCCCACCGGGACCCAGGCCCTGGCCAGTGCCAGCCCCCCAGAAGGGGATGTCCCAATCAACCAACCCGTCCAGTAACATGAGCTGCCCAACAGCTAACAATAGGACTCGCCATCGGGGAGCCAATCTAGGCCATCCCCTTCAGATTGCTACACACAATGTACAAGGCATGACGGTGAGACACAGTTGTGGGCAGAGATGGGCCTGGATGTGGTGTGCCTCCAGGAAACCCACCACACCAATTCTCATGACCAAGGCCAGCTTCAAAATGAGCTAAACCTGGCAACACAGGCTACAGACACCCAGGGTTGGAAAGTGGCGGCTTACTCCTGGTCAGAATCTCCCCACAAAGCGGGGGTTCTTATCCTCGTCCGCCGGGATTTGGCTACCAACTTGGAAAAGCCGCCTCCCACTCCTGTGGTCCGAGGGCGGTTTACCAGCTGTGTACTACGTTGGGGAGGACACCATATTCACATTTGCAATGTGTATGGCCCCACGGGTACCTCAGCACAAGCAACCCAGCTCCGTCAGTCACTGTTCATGACATACACTGTCTGCTACCACCAAGCATGCAGCCGAGAACAGTGACACCATGCTGGACTGGGCAGGTGACTTCAACTTTGTGGAAGACCCAGGGATGGACTCCACAGCGGGTCCAGGAGGGTGACGGGAAGATGGCCCAACAGTGGACCTTATTCAGGCAGCAGGCCCCACCATGGTGGACAGCCACTGCCAGCTGTACCCCAACAGTTGTGACTACACCCACTTCTACAGAGCACCCTGTGTAGGGGCCTCCCGCCTAGACCACATCTATGTAGACCATGGCACCATGCCATACATTGCTAAGACGGAGATTGCCGTGCAAACACCGTCGGATCACAAGCCCATGGTCATGCACCTGCTGTCGTGCCGACCACAGAGCAAGGGCCCGGGGAACCGACGAGTGCGGCTGGCCTTCACATCACACCAGGACTTAGCCACAAGCATGGAGGCATGGATCACCAGCCAGTGTGCCACAGCCCCATCTGCGGAGGACAACCCTTTGGGCCTGATTGCGTGGTGGCCAGCTTTTAAACGCCAGCTGAGCACCCTGGCCCTTCAGCTCAACAAGGCGGCACAACACTGCAAGCTCAGACCAGGGGCCCGGGCTCGGGAGGTGTTACTGCAGGTCCAGTTGGCAAGGCAAGCGGTGGATGCAGCCCCCACAGCACAACAGCCACTTCAACACTGGTCAAAGCCCAGGCAACACTTGTATGAGCGCATTGCGAAGACTGCCAGAGGGATGCAATGGAGGCCCCCACCAACTGGCTGTGGGCAGGGAAGAGGCCGAGCCCATCCCTTACAGGCCTTCCTCCAGGCCCAGGCTGTAGACCAACAGCCAGCCCCTGTCTCCCTGCAAGCCTCGTCCGGCCGACTTGTCACCAACCCCGCTCAGCTGCCCCAGGTGGTAGCAGACTTCTGGAAGGATGTGAGCAAGGCCCCGGACTTCATCTGCCCCCAGGCCCACCAAACCGTACTGAACTCCCTCACCGCAGCCAACATTAAGCTCCTGGCAGAGGCAGATGAACAGCTTGGAGCCAAAAAGATCACAGCCACTGAACTGCGGAAGGCACTCAAGAAAAGCGCACCTGGCAAGGCCCCAGGGTGGGATGGGATCCCAGCCGACATCTAAAGGAAATTCTGGTCAGCCATAGGTAATACCATGGCAGGCCTGTTCATTGCCATTGCCATGACCGGGCAGATGCCAGCAGGCTTCCTTGAAGGGATCATCACAGTGCTGCATAAAAAAGGCGACCCTAAGCTCCCAGGCCTCTACCGCCCCATCACACTGCTATGCTCGGACTACCGGCTCCTTGTTAAGGTACTGGCAGACCGCCTGGGCCCTGCCCTGGGACGGGTCATCACCCCCCGAGGAATCTGCCTTCCTCCCCAAGCGCCTGATTGGGGCCAGGATACTCTTCCTGCGCCATCTGTCACACCTCCTCCGCAAGCAGAACCACCAAGGGCTTCTGGCATTCCTGGACTTTGCCAAAGCATATGATACAGTGGATCGCGGCTTTCTCCTAGCGGCCATGGAGGCATTGGGGGCAGGGCCACAGTTGCGTGCGTGGGTATGTCTGTTACTGAGCGAAACCCGAGCCCGGGCGATGGTCAACGGGTACAAGTCCAGGTTGGTAGACATGGAGGCTGGTGTCTGACAGGGCTGCCCCCTGGCGCCTCTGCTGTAGCTCTTCGTCACCCAAGCTCTCCAATGCTGGCTCCGGAGCCAGGAGGTGGGAATTAAGCTGCAACCCTCCAAGCCAAATCCTGTCACCGCCTGCCAATATGCAGATGACACGGAAGTGGTGTTGGATGGCGCAGAATCAGTCCCCTCCTTCCTACAGGCCATGGAAACTTTTGCCGGGGCATCTGGCCAGCGACTCAACCTGGAGAAAGTGGGACTGCTATGGATTGGCCAGCAGCGACAGCAACAACAGCAGCCGGCGCCAGCAGCAGGACCTTAGCTAACAGCCCCCCAGCATGAGACAATCGGAGGTCTTAAGGTGGTAACCACTGCTACTGCCCTGAACCTGCCGATAGACAACCAGGTGACCCCGCCACAGCCGGACTAGATGAAGAGGATGGGAGAGGCCAAACGGTGGATGCAGCTCTGTCCCGCTTCCCGCTGTCAGCATTTGGAAGGGCAATGGCGGCGTCGGTGTATGGCTTGCAGACAGTCACCTGGCACATGGAGCATGGCGCACTGGGCCCAGACCGCATGCTGGACGAGATAGAGTGACTTACGGTTCACCTGGTCGACCGCCGACAAGGCCCAGATAATCCTTGACACTTGACTGGCGTGCCCGAAGAACTCCTAATCGGTCACCCATCGACAGGACGGACTTTTTCATCCAGGCCGACGGGGTGGGACCGCAGACAGGGCCTGCACTGAACGCGCCGGGGGATGAGGACCAAACACAGGAACAGAATACGGCGACAGGGGTGGTAGCAGCAATGGCAGCCGCGGCGGCAGCAGCACCCGCAGCAATCCCCTTGGATTGAACCTGCGCCCGGGCAGTGGTGGACTTCTGGGCGCGTTTGCACTCTTTCACGGTGCTGGGCACCCCACGAAGAGGCTGGGACGGGGTGGGACCCGACCACCCGATCCTGTCGGTTTCAGAGGGCGCACTGTGGTGCACCGAAGCGGTGGAAATTATTGCCTAAGAGCGCTTTGAGCTTAGTATGTAGGGCAGGGCTCTGGGGGGTATAGGAGTTGAATGGGGATAGGGGTTGGAGGGAAGGGAATAAGTGAGAGGAACCCCCGAGGCAGGAGAGGGAGAGGGGAAGGATGGGGAGTGGAGGCGGTCACGTAGTGCAGGGAAGAACTTTTTTCTTCCCTAGTGCCGCTCCGAGGTTGTCGGGTGTTGGAGAGCCCGGGGGGGGTGGGGTCGCTCGGATAGGGGAGGGTGGAAATGGCGCTGAGAGCGCCAAGAGGACGTAGGTTTTCTGGGGTTCAGGAGGTTGAGTTCTGGTGGTAGCAGCGGGGCTCGGATGAGGGGGAGTTGTGGCCCGAGGAGGGCCGTCCTACTTAGGCACGTCTTCTCTGCAGGACTGGGTTGCTTGGTGAGGGACGAGGGTGAGAGCGGTGCAGTACGAGGCAGGGTGAGTAGGTTCTGGAGGACCGACAGTTCCGGTTTAGTGACGGTAAGGGGGAGGCGCCACATGGCCTACAATCCTCCCCCTGCGGTATTCTGGAGGGCCTAGGAGCTGTGTGTGGTGACAACGCTATCCCCTTGTGGTCTCGCCGGACTATCCCGGACCCCTGCAGTGGTGATCGGGCTTGTGCGTGGTCCCTTTTCTTTATACGGATACTTCTCCCCTGGACCGTGTTCGGGCGATGCTGCATGACGCAGCACTCCCGATCAGCTACTGGCTGGAGGCTGCACTCTACACAAACCTCCTGCACAATGCGGCCCCCTCTCATTGCCAGGAGGCCACACCGTGGGCAGCTTATCACGGCATCCCCCCCGACATCAGCCACCTCCACACCTTCACCTGCCTGGCCTACATCCGCATCCCAGCCAGCCAGCAGGACAAACTCGGTCCTCGTGCAAAGGGGGGAACCTACCGCCCACCGGAGCACGGCACGGCCACCCACCGCGTCCATGTCAAGGGCATGGTGACTGTGAGCAGCGATGTCACCTTCGATGACGACCGCCGCGGCCTGGTTCACAACGGGCGGGCACCCCCTTCGGCACTAGCCCCGCCTGTCCCGGCGGCAGTGACCCCATCGGCGGCTCTACACCACCCGCCATGCTGCCGACCCCAGCGGCCACCCCACCCCTGGCGACCCCAACACCACCCCTTCCACCCCAACACCTGCAGTCAACGGCAGTCCCTGCACACGCCGCTGGGCCCGGTCAGTGACGGCCCGCTCCCCTGACAGCAGCAGCAGCGGCGGCGGCTGAGAGTCGGGAAGTTGCAACAACTAGCAATGTGTGGGCAATTTGCACTGTACGACCAATGCAAGAAAACAAACCGTTCCAATCATATTAAAAGGCACACAGCCCACATGCTTGCCAATGCCAGCCGATAAAAACTTTCGCCTAAAGCTTTCCAAGAACAAGGGGCAGGAGAGGGGGAAAGTGCGGGGAAGTGGGGCGGCAGCCCCATGACCCCACACATCCCCCCCAAGACCACCTGGCCACCGACATGCAATCATGATAGGAATGAGCGGGAGCCAAGGGAAACATTTAAAAGCATGATAAACCTTATATATACAATATGATAATACACCTCAGCCTAAACAAAGGCGCATACAAAGGGGTCGGGGTGTAGAGATTATCGGTTCCCCCTGGCCTTGGCACCTCACCCCACCGTTCGAGGAACGAAGGCAGTTAGGTAAACATGTACACAGGTGCAGGTAAGGGTGGCAGACGTAATGGGAACCATTTCAAGCATACAAACTGTGCCGATATATCAATATGTAGGGACGGCATTGTGTCCTTGCACGGTTCCATCCAGATTCGGTCCGACAGTGCGGGATACTTATCACACGATCACGATAGGTGAATGTGCCCTCCTGCTAATTGATGGCGTAATAACCAAATCCATTGACCTAAGAGTCTGGAATGGAGTTATCGCCGCCATTGATCCGTCAGATTACTATGGATTCTGGTCGTGGGTGCTGCGTCCAAAACAGTTACCACTTCACAGAAGCCGGCCTGGTTGAGAAGGATGAGTGTGTCCCCATTGGGCAAGGTAGGGACCCAATGCTTTTCAGGGGCCACAAGGCAATCATCGTCTGGGACTCTAGCCAGTTGTCCTATCATCAACAAGATAACTGGGTAACCAGTAAGCCATTAGCAGAGCAGCTGATAAACAGCTGACGAAAGCTCCTGGCCCAACCCCAGCCACAGCCCCTTTCGCCACAGAACCCTGATGACATCAATGATGGATAACCCCAACACAGTGAATGAACTCACCGGTGCCATGTAGGCGGGCTGAATGGATGAGCAGTCCGGTCCAGGTAGAGTGTCGTGAACGTACGGCGATTATTGATAGGGGGGTGAGAAGATCATTCGGTTTTAGTCTGGTAGAGAGGAATGGCTGGCCGGCGCCTACATGCACAGCTACGCAGGATGTCACTGTCGCCACCACCACGGCTACCAAAAGCACAAAGAAGCCTACGAAACGTGGCCATGCCACGCTGGCTGCCATACATTTATGGTAAGGGTTGTTACATTTCAGACCATCAGAAGTGCCGTACACACCGGTACATAATACCGTTAGATGAGGGTTTCCCAGGTGAGTAGATAGAGGCTCACAATGAGGTTTCCTGAGCTACTGTGGAGCCGAGTACAGTTAGTCCCACCATAGGGCCCCAATATGTCGTATTTGGATTGTGTGAATCCACTGCCCCCGTCCTGGTCGTCTAACGTTCCCTAATCCTGCGGTACTTGTCGCCTCATTCACTTTGCCGCCACCCGCCCACTCACCGTGCCCACATCCGGATGCTCCGTTGGAGCCACCGTCACACGAAGTCGAGACAGCCCAAAGTCCTGCAGGAATCGATATGGTTACGCTAATGGGCAGCTTTACACGGCATGTAACTGGCCAGTTGGGGGTACATACGTCTACACACACAATATTAAGACGCGTTGGGGCTACCTCCACTGAATTGATTGCAGGTGCCAAATGGAATGTGGCCACATTCTACGTGGCTTCCCTTTCTTCAGTTCCTCAACTCGCAACAAGTCACGTACCGTAAGCTTAACTGTGGGGCGGTCACTGTGGGGGTCGTTGAGCAGCACGTTGGCAGGCTGATAGGTGCGAGAAGGTGGTACAGGGAAGGGAAGGCAAAAGGGAAACCACATCCAGCACCACACCAGAGGCGCCAGTGAGACGAGGGCAAGGGCGAGAGGAGGGGGTATCAGGTAGTGGTAGGAAGGAGGGGTCCAGCGAAGGTGAAGGCGCCGAGCGGGTCGAGTAGCTGTGAACTGAATAGTTCCTAATTTCCCAAGCCACATACACCTTCGTGCGCGAGATGTCCGTCCTGCACGGACAACGGTCTAGCTAGCCGCTACACGAACGACACCGAAATGTACAAGTTACAAGCAATTGTACGACTCCGTACCTTGAGGTCCCGGTGACTGATGGTGGGGTGCAGGTAGGCCAGCGCGTTGGCAATGGATATGGTGATATGAAGCACCTGATGGGGAGTGGGTGAGGCATGGATGAACGTGAGCACACCTAGGCGCCCTGGTCGTGCGTGCAGGGTGCTGCGTGGCTGGTTAGTCGTGGCAGAAGAAGATATTGGTTTTTAGGTTCCAGTGTCCTTGGCAGAGTTACCTAATCATGGTTAGGTCGTCGCTGTGGCTGAGGCTTGTTGGGGCGGATGCACAACAAGGCCCTGGACAATGTTCAAAATGCTCCCATTATCTCTCATGATCCTTCCAATTTTTAGCAAGCTTCACCTTAAAGGTGGGCTACCGTCGACTACCAGCTTCATTTCCGGTGCAAATTGTCTCTACATATGTATACGTCATATATATGCCGTACTAGCTTGCCTTCGGCAATGGCATCGGCCGGGCTGTCGGGTCTCCGTACATAAGGCGCTCCAGTGAAGTCTCCATAAGCTCCAGAACCAAACACAGCCGCGGCGACTCCACACATGCCGCCAGCAGTCGCACAATATTTGGGTGATAACAGCGGCTCAGCACCTAAGTGTACGGATCAGGGGCGATGTACGAAGTCACTGTCAGGAGCTGCAGCACACCAGTAGCATGCACCACTTCGCCACTGCAGGACACACCTGGCTACCTACAAGAGCGGACTTGCAAGGAGTGACACGCGGTTAACAGCATTAGTTGGCGGGCGCGTGCCTGCACGTTATGCGTGGCGTGGGGGGTAGTCAAACCCAGCCGCACCTACCCCCAACCCACTCCTGTCCACCCTACCTGCACTTCCTGCGCGAAGCTGGAGGCGAAGGCCTCGATGGGGCATCCCCACGGGCCGTCGCTGGCCAGAAGCTTCACAGCCACTCGCTGCCCCCGGTAAGTACCTTCCACCACTCGACCAAAGGTGCCCTTGCCGCGTACCACCGGAGACAGCTCCACCACATTGCTACCACTACAGAGAGGACCACCACCAGCACTGCCGCTGCCACTGCCGCTGGCGACCTCCTCCTTCGAGTGCAGGGGTGCGACACACGTGACGGCACCTGCTGTGGGACTGTTGCTGCTGTCGCCAGCCTCAGCCTCAGCAGCGGGGTCCATTAACCGCACATGCAGCTCCAGGTTGGGTTGTGGCCGCGTGTCTGGGGTGATGACCACGGCAGCCTGTTCCAGAGGCGTCACCACGGTCGGCTCGGTGCCAACCACCTGCTGCTCGCCAGGCTGCACTTCCTCTACTTCCACTGCAACTTCTGGTATTGCAGTAGTAGGGGGGTAAGCGGAACAGCCGTACCAGGGAATGACATGCAAGGTTGAGCGGTTACATGCAGCAGTGATTAGGGATATTAACCATGTGGCTATAGATGGCAGATGGATGGACAGGCTGGATGCAGCAGCCAGGCTGGCTGATAGATGGCTGAGCCAGCATCTATCAGTAGTTACATCGTTTGGTAATCACTGCCGAGAACTACCGCATCATTTGCAACTTAACCAAAATATCCTGTCAGGCAAGGACGCCGCAGCATGCAACGCAGCCAGACAGCAGCCAGGTCGCAACTCACTGACTGGCGGACTCACCTGACTTGGGAAGGTGGTTACGAGGGGTCGCAGATGAGGCCCCGCTTCCACCGCTCCCGTTCTCGTAAGCAGTACCAGTAAAGTTCAGCTTAGAGGCTGGGCCTGGGCGACTGTTGGCAGATACACACATACGTTACATACAGCAGCAATGGCGGCTGGATGGGGAACAGCTGAGAGCTAGCGGCAGCAGACATCACATGAAGGAAAAGTGCAAGCATACCAGCCATGATGCACGACGGCCAGCTTACGTGGGTGACCAGCAGCGTTTGTTATGACTGGGTGAGCGACTAGGAAGGCATGACCCAAACACACCGCCCCACACAAAGGATTGCTACGGCGCCAGTTAATGATCTAGGGCGGACTTATGTCATCCCGTATCACAAACTCGTAGCTACTACGCAAATAGAGTTGATAGCTTCTCACAAAAGCGTGCGTGTGCATGTCTTTTAATGATCTGAGACGCGATAAGGGAGGTGCTGCTGGGGGTACCAGAGAATAACTTTACAGAAGTGAGCTCCGTAGTCCAGCGAAGTCTTAAAACTTTTCAACAGGAAACGGTAATCGTTGCTTGAATGTTGAACAGAAGCGTGATATCACGATTCCATATAAACAAGCGACGCTGTAGTGGAGAAGAAAAACTGGGTGGTGGGAGCGACTGGGTGTGTATGTGCATGTGTGTGTGTTTGACACCAAGTCAATCTCCCGTACCTTCTCGACTCAAGGCAGCTGCGACCGAAGATGTTCGTCCCAAAAGAAAGAATGTTCATGGTCGCGCGACTGCCACCAACGTCTTTGCAGTATTCCTGCAGCCACTTCAAGCGCACTGCAGCCGCCACCATCAGCGCGAACAGGGACACGGTAACCACGGTCCCTGCATACATGTTAAGTTTGCATGCATGAGCAGGTCATGACCTGCATGTCTGCTCATGTCTGTATGTGTACATGTCATCTCATGGTAGGCACGTGCCCACTGGCATCTGGTTGGATGCTCAAGCCACCCGCCATCAGGCACCCACTGAGGTGCCATGAAGCGCAGGTCTTGGGCTATGCATTGAACCGTGGCACATACTGCCATTTAGTAGCCGGGGCGGACTTGAACCCTACTACTGCCCTATACAAGCTGCACTCTTGAAACGATTGCGCCGTCTTGGATTTGATCTGCAATCTTGCGATCTCTAATCCTTGTTTTATCCTTAAGGAATGGCTTCTCCAGAGATATATTTAGAAACTTAACCTACCGCCTGGCATGTGGCACGTGGATGTGCAGAATATGCACGTGTAACTTCACTCCGCTGTTTTTCTGCCCACCCCGCCCTGTCCAGCATCACCCTCCCACCTGCCACTGCAGCCCCTACTACCACTGCACGGCCCCGGGCCTGGTTTTCCTCCGCACCGCTTGCCACCGGTGGTGTGCTGTCCTGCCGCTGCGTCTGCTTCACTTGCGGTGAAGAGGCATTACCATCAAGGGCCTGAAGCGGCAGATCTGGTCGGTAATCGTCTAAGAAAGACGTCGTGACATTCCCAAACTGGCGCTTCGTTTCCTGGAAGCAGACCAGGGGCTCGGCCTGCTGCTCTCTGAGGCACATGATGCTCACGGGGTGCTCACACAGGCAGGTGACATTTTGAAAATAGAATATGGTGTTGGTGGGGATGGACTTGTCTGAGGACGGGTCAATGCGGATGCCGTCACCCGCCACCTCCACTACGAGGGAACCATCTGGCCAACATCGTTGTAGTGGCGGCACAGAGGACCCGTTGCGGCAGCCACCCTGTTGCAGACAGGGATCAAGGCTTAACAAGCAAGTTGATCAATGCATACGTAAGCAAAAACCCTACAGGATATGCCCCGAGGCGCCCTAGAGGTGTGACTAGGGAACGAGGAACATCAGGAGGGACCAGATCCCCTTGGCATCCCACTCCCGTGAATACTCTTTGCCTGATGCTACAATTTCCCCAGTCTGGTCTGGTCTGGAAGCACTACTGCAATTTGCGGTTTAAGGTCCTGGATTTGATTCCTGGGTAGACCCCCGACATTGTCGGGGGCGTGAGATTATGGCTAGCTGCGGGGATGAGGAATTGAGGTTCATGGACCGAGATTTGCATGCTAGACCGGTGGCGAGATCGCCGAACCCTCTGTCTCTACGGATGCTCGGGTGGCATGGTGAGGAGGGATACTAGAAGGCAGAATCATCTGCCTAGGACTTCCAGTTCGTATGGCGTCGTACAGTATGAGAATGGTGGACGGCGGTGTGGCCCAGGTGGCCCAGACCAACGTGTTTAATTGGCCCAGAAGCCTCCCACTCTGTAACAGAAACATGTTACCTCTAGGCAAGCAAGCTGCCATGCAGGCCTTGATGGGAGCACAAGGCAATGTTGCGAGCACGCAGGCGATGTGGTAGTCATGTGTGCAACCTAGCCACCTACCTCCGGATGTTGGTAACCCAGCTCGACCAGCTGTTTGGCATGCGGGTATTTCGCCGGCGGCTCGACTGCCTTAACGGTTTGTAGCTGCAATACGGTTGGGAAGCAGAACCCTGGAGGCATACGTGGGTGCAGCAGGAATGAGACCCGTCACCACGCACATGGGCCACCGATTGGCCCAGAAGCCGCCCACTCTATAACATTACATTACATTATATGCACCATGCTAAAGAAGCCCACACCGTACCTACGCGACCACTGCACTAATGATATCTGCTGATTCTGCTGATGGCGACAGAACACAGCTAACGGGATAGTCCGTGTGTGAATGGATGCAAGAGTGCATGCTCCAGGCACCGTGCTGCCGGAATAGACTTTCTGGCCTCTTGCTCATTACCAGTATGCATATGCATAGTGAGTGCTGGCATACCAGTGCAAATGGTATGTTCATGCCCACGTCAACACGTGCATGCATTCCCCAATTACCAGTGATGAAAGAAGTGTAAATCATCAGCACATGGAGGTGGATGCATGCGTGTGTGGCTGTACTGGATGTTGGGCATCAAGGTACGCATGGTTGGTTGGACTTACTCGCTGACATGGCTGCTGGCCCAAACTGCATTTCTGACGCTTGGTTTGGCAGCGTGGGAGCCAGGAAGGAAAAGCCTGCACAACACCGGTCAATCAGTTTGCCATGCATGGCTGTACATGCAATAAACTGATGGGGCCGTCGGCTGCTGGCAGTAGCGAGCCTCATCGACTCGCAATGAGGTAGCCAGTGTCAACCTGCTATCAAATTGCTTGATGCATTGGGTTAGTCATCCTTGTGCATCGCTTGTGAAACGGAGTAAGTTGGAGGAAAGGCGAGTGAAAGCCTGGCGCAAAAGCCAGCATTTACTACCAGCGTGTGGCATGTACGGCACCACCTCTGTCCTGGAGCAACGGCAGCTCTAGCTATTGCAACACGAACATCAGTTGTAATAGCTGCGGTTCAGCTGTGGCTGCATGCATGCATGTGTACACCACCAAGCAAGTAACACCAGCTAACTTGCCCTGTTCGCGATAGTTATTGCCTCCGTTTGCGCCATCCAGGAATAGGAAGCGGATAGCCCAGATGACCGTGTCCATGAGCCGAACCTGATGATACATGACAAGAAACGCAAGAGTGGCGGATGGGGTGTACATGTAAGTACGGCAGCAATGTGGGATATTGTCAGCCTTGCAACAGCATAACATGTGTACATTGCACAGAAAGCTCATCATTCATACCATTCAAACCATAGATGATGACACTGGCTTGATATCTTTTGGGGCATCATAAATACCTGCTGGCAACTAGCCGGCTGGCAGATACTGAAGCGGACGAGGGAGAATGAAGATGACCTCCCGCGTACCCGCATCAATACCAATACAACGTCCATGGCCCCCCTGGCTTTTACGGACACACCCACACTTGTGTGCGGAACTTGTAACTTGTAACTTACATGCTGCATGTGAAAGGCGTATGGTGCGCGCTGTCCTCTTGTCGTGATATCACCACTAGTGACCATTGAGGAAAGGGGGTAACGCGGGGGTCCCTAGTACACATGCACCGCCCTAGGACCAATAACACACCATCGTGTATGAAATAACATAATAATGTACCTAAGTATGCACAGCACCCCGTCTTTGCTCACCACGTCCCTCACGTAATGAAGGCGCAGGAGCGGCCAGTCCGCCTCGTCTCCTTCCAACGTCAAGTTGCGGGTAATGGGGATGGGCAGGTTGCCGCCGACCGCCTCCCAGGTATCAGGCGGGACATCGACCAGTGGAGACGTGAGAACAATACGTTTGACAGCTGGATCCCGCAAGGCGGCCACAAAGAGGGAGCCATCTGATACATTTGCCACTCCAGAGCTGCTGACAAGCAGCCGTGCGGGTGCGTGCCGGTGTTGTCCCAGCCGCGAAGAACCTGCCCCGGATACGAAATGGGCCATCGTGCTGCCTCTGCAGGCGCTGAATCCATTGTGTCCCTGTATAAGCAACAGAACTAGGGATATACGCAGCGCTTTCCATGCTGCGTAGAATTCTGCAGCTGGGCGGAGCACTATGTTTGAGGCAACCCTGCTGCGCACAATCTTGCTGACATCATAAATAATGTGACGAAAATGCTGGGCCATTCAACGTGTTGTACTTAATGACATGAACGCGTTCATATCGACCACAGCATGAAATGGCTGAAAGCTCCCTGAGTTTCCTTTACATAGAAGTAATATGAATGGAGACTAAGGAAAATAAATATATTTTTACTTAAGGTATGTCTCTCGTGCGATGCCTTGGGTTAAGCAACCGTATTGCACTACATAGGCTAACCATTGCCTATCGCGTATCGGAAAACAACTAATATAGGTTTACTCTTATGGTATGGAATCTTGTCACTGTATGCTGGATGGAGGATGGCGTACCTGTACCGCGATTCGTTGCAACTTGCGCGCACTTCAGGTTTTACTATGTATGAGGGAGAATGCGATTGTTACAGTGGACTCCGAACGGGTCGAGTGCAGCGCCCCTAGGAACGCCTCCCGCACAACACTGAGGGAAAATGCGATTGTTACAGTGGACCCGAACGGGTCGAGTGCAGCGCCTCCCCCACAACACTGTGGGCCTTATTCAAAAAGAACTCGGCCAGGCCGTACTATCTTCACTGGACACAAGGCCTCAGTTAGTACGCTCATACAGAAAATATGAGGCTCCGACGTGAGCCCTCAGACCTCGTCATTGTACATCCGTAAGCGGCAAACAACCATGTCTGCGTCATTGACATATAGCAAAGGGTGGTTGTGAGATACTTGTTCCCAACGTTTTGGCAAGTCATCCCGTGCCGCAAAAGCAGTTAGGGTGCATTTCCAGTGCGGATTAAGGCCAGGGATTAACCCTCTGTCCTCCATTGATACTTGCTCAAACGGCGAAGTTGTTGGCAAACTTACCTCGCCTTTGGTTCCCTTATGGAACAAAACTATGTGGTAAGCTCGTACCAAGGACTTCCGTGCCTCTGTGCAATACTTGCGTATGCACAGAGGATCGGGATTTCAATCTCAACTTAGACTTACAATGTTTATAATTTGGTCCGCTTAAATAGTCATGCTAGCGCGCCACAACCTCACGTCGTACACACAAGTTCAAGCTCCGCTAGCTCCGAAGTTACGACACGGTCTCACACGCTCTCGTTAACTAACTTCAAAACATTACACTAATCCCTGGCCTTAATCCACACTGGAAATACACAATTAAACGGGCCCAAAAGTCAGAGATAACATCGTAAGTAATGCGGTTCAGCGTTGACGTTGATACAGCCATGTTGGCATGAAGAAACAACAAAATGGCGACCGAGATTGAGTGAGCTGATGGCCGCGAGGCATACAACCTCCCACGCACACACACAAACCGAGGTCGGTGGAATGCCCAACCACAAGTTAGCTCGGTTAAAAAGGTCTGGAAACTCTAGTTCATTCTGCAGAGCCTCACAAAGAGCCAACGCGACAGTACAGTCCCAGAAATGATGCCGACGATCCCCACAAACCATGCACACACCACAAGGACACAAAGCAGCAGGGACGCCTCTTTGACGTTGCGCCCTATGCATAGGAAAGGCAGGGAACTTCCCTTTGAAACCATCAAGAGCTAGCCGCCAAAGGGCTTCCTTATGTTCACCGAAGTCGTCACATGCGCGACAGAGCCCGACGGAAGTCCAAAAAGGTGTTGGCCAAGTTGTCCGGCGATAAGACGATATCAACAGCATCCAAAATAAAATCTTCATGTTTTTGATCAAGCGTCCGTAAAGAAGGTGCCATTAATAAAGTCGTCGCAAACTTGACTGTTAATTGAGTGAAATGCACTAACACTTGACCAAACCTCCAACCCAAGCTCTTGACTAATCTTTTCCAGGCCTCTTGCGGAGGCGGTATTTCATGGTTTCCACCATTCATAGACTGACAAGATGCCGGCAGGGGATGCCTCGGAGTGAGCCTTAATATCCCCCGTACGACAATAGTACGAAAACGGTTCGTACATTGGAGGTGTTGCGCCTCAGTGAGGCCTTGTACACCAACCGTGTGCACCAAATTCCAAGTAGACGACATAGCAATGAAACACTGTACGGCAATACCTACAGTGTCTAACCCACACATATTCCGAAGATCACCAAATTGCTCGTCCAACTGAACGTCATTTAGCAAGGTAGGCACGCCCGCGGCGACACCTGGCCCAGACGAGGTGCCGCCCTGGAGCGATGCTAACCGATTTGTTGCCAGCGCGCTGCTCGCAATTCCAGCACAACCGTCTTTTTCTCTTAAACAACAGCAATTTGTTAGGGTTGACGAACGTGAAGGAAACTCGACCCGAACAAAGTCGACTTTGTCATGTCAACGGTATAGCATATTGCAGGTTGGAATGCCGCACGTGGCTGTCGCTATCGCACATACAAGAACGAAGCAAATATTTGCTCCTATAATAAGAGCATTACTATTATTACTATTTGAACTACTGTGTTCTTTGTGGCTTGAAGGAATGCTATACCGTTGACATGACAAACTCGACTTTGTTCGGGTCGAGTTTCTTTCACGTTCGTCAACCCTACCAAATTGCTGTTGTTTAAGAGAAAAAGACGGTTGTGCTGGAATTGCGAGCAGCGCGCTGGCAAGAAATCGGTTAGCATCGCTCCAGGGCGGCACCTCGTCTGGGCCAGGTGTCGCGGACGGTATGCTTTAGCAAATGGTTTCCCCAAAGTGGGATATGGTAACACCAAGGACCCGGAGCTAAATGTTGCGCATCCAGAAGGACATGTTGTGGTAGGGAAGTCAACGCTGTTAGAATCCGTGTTAATGCCGGGCAATCATTCGGCACTGGCCTACCCAAGATAGTAGTGACACGGCCATCTCGTACGTCTCCCCTAACGGCCAGCAGACATAACTGGTGGGCCGCCGTGTGAATATGACGTAATATTGCCAGTAATACCCGAGTCCACATGGGGTTAGTTTCCAACATACCCGACATACCAAGGATTGCACGAAAAGACAAACAAGCAAAACGAGCACGTAGATGTTCGTGCGGAGGAATGAGACCGAAACCCCCAATGGCAGGAGGAAACGGCATGTATGCAACACCCACACCCGGGACACGTCTTCGCTCAGCACTGTCCCGCGCAGTTGGCGGTTGACGCCTGTCAATAACTGCCGCACAGTCTCCCAGCAGGTAATTCATCGAGGTGGTGCTAGGTGCCCCCATAAACTCCAAGCGGTAAAGGACTCTACTAATGCTATAACCTGATACCGCAAAAGCTCAACCAAAAGCTGATAAATGCATCCCAGCGACTAGCTGCAAGCTATTCCTAACTGGCGAGAGCGGAACCGACTGCTGTTCGAGCGAGGGCCTATCTGCGAAGCGATCCCCTAGGGTTGTAGCTACTGAAAGCACCCTGAAACCGCCAACTTGTGAACCTACAACAAGCAGCTGTTCAACCTCGCCTGCTACTTGTAAGTTTCCCACGGAATTCGCCACTTCAGTTAGGTTAGTAACCGGCATCACCAAATGGTTACCAATAGCATTCGCTGGTGGTATGTCCGCCGGTCTTGCATTGCGGGTGAACGTGCCAAGCGGCAAAAGCTCAACCTTGCGATTGTTGAGCTGTTGTCCCGAGGCTGCGTGGAAAACATCCATGACAGCTTTGAAGCGGGGAATGTCCGGTAAGTGACACAAAAAGGCACCACAATCATCCGCATACTGTGACGCCGCGAGGTGAATGCCACGCAAACTTATGCCGATTTGTTGATATTGAAGCCAAGTTAGTAATGCTTGTGCTGGCGCGAGGTAGAGGATGGGGGCAAGCGGACACCCTTGCCTGACGCCAGCCGCTATAAGAACCCAGTAGGAAAGGTAACCATTGGCACTCGCAGCTGATTGTGTACTGGTATGCAGACGTCGAACCCACGCAATAAAGCCCACACCTACCCCCAATCCACACAGACAAGCGAACAGAAAATCGCTATCAAGGGTATCGTAGGCTTTGTAGAAGTCAAGGAGAGCTGCCACACAAGTACGGCGCTCCATACGGAGGAGCACGGGCAGCAGTTGTAGGAGGAGCACACTATCCGTGATTCGCCTGCCCGTCGGGAAGGCTGTCTGCTCCGTGTCTATGACACGGTTAAACAACGGCAGCAGCCGTTGCTTGAGAACACGTGCGAGAGTGCGATAGTCTGTACCCAGCAGCGTAATGGGTCTATAATTTCCCGGCACCGTAGGGTCATCCGCTTTAAAAAAGGAAGAAATGATGCCGTCCAGAAAGCCTTCCGGGACCCTATCTAGCTCCCCCATGGCTGTAAAAACGGCGGCCAGTAAGGGTGCCAGTTAGTACGCTGGTATATTTCCACCGGTATTCCGTCAGGACCTGGAGCGCGACCCGGGGTTGCCGCCTGGAGAGCGGCTTGCACTTCCTCTACTGTAACCACCTGCGCTCCCACCCTAGCCGCTTCTTCTGGTGTGCACGTCCTGCCCCTTGCACGGAGCGCTTGGAGGACACGTGACCGCGCATCTGGGTCAATATGGGGCTGTGCTCCTATTTGTTGCCAATAATCCGCCATGATATTAGGAAGTTGTTGTAAATTGCTACACAGAGTACCATTAGGCCTTTGCATGGCAGTAATTCTGCGCGTTGCTAAGGGTGGCCTAAGTTGGTTGGTTAGTGCTGGGCTAGGTCGTTCGCCTGTACGTATCCAATTGTAACGGGTGCGTCGTGTGACGCCTGCTACAGCCCGGTGTGCCGCATCTGCCTGAGCCGACCTAGCGAGAACCGCCCGTGGAAGAGCCGATGTGGAGAAAGGTTCCATGTGAACAGCAATGGACATGGGTTAGTCGATCCTAAGGGTGTATTTCCAGTGCGGATTAAGGCCAGGGATTAAGGTCCCGCAATTCCCGGCTAATCCCCGGCTCATCCCTGGCAATTCTTAAGGCCTGGGATTTGCGCGGGGATTAAGGCTGTACAAAGGGCGATGCACATTTTTTGATGCGATCTCGAAGCTAATATTACCATTTCTGGATTGCTTTGAGCATTAGGCATCGTATGAGTATAAAATTTGGGCAGGAAGCGCACTCTTCTCGCCGTTGTGGCCACCGTTGAGGCCTGACATTGAAGTAGCACCTTTCGCGCAAACCAAATCAGATATTCCTTACTTGAGGTCATCCTTATGGAATTAACTAGAAAAAATAAGATATAACGCCATGAACGCTAATCCAGATACGGAAAGTTACTACCTGGGTGGGGCCAGGTAATAACTTTTTTGTCACAAGTTGCCAGGTAAATACATGGACATCAAGTTGAATTTATGTTCTTTCCTAATCTCTTGCTAACTCCTGCTAGTCCTCTGAATAGAGAACACGGTGTCCTGAGGAATACCTTAACCCCCTGGCGAACCCTGCTTAATCCCGGTGGGATTTCCACTGCTGGGATTAGCACAGGGATTAACGCTAACAGGGATGCGACCGTATTCGTTTTGGCCGTCTGGCGTAATAATGGTACCTCAAATTAATACGCCAGGCGTATGGCGTATCAATACGCCGGGGTTCACGCCATGCCGTATTACAATACTCGTGGCGTATTCCTTTTGCGCTATTCCGTCATGGAATTCATGTTTTTCGCTTTTACAATGAAAGGCGTATTGCTTTAGTGTTTGGAAAACGATCTCTCACAAGATAAAATATGAATTTGGGCAACAGCCAGACCTGGACAGCCATCGAGCCATGTGCGCACACATTCGCGTCTGCATTCTAGCATTCCTAACAAACCGTGATTATCACAAATACTACAGCCCAAATTCCACTTTGGCTCTGTGAGCGGGGAAGGTTGTCAAGCAGAACTTGCACTTGCGAGCATAGCGCTTGGAGCTAGAGCTATAGTCACCGACTTCTTCGAAATAATCCAACACAGCACTAGGCTTAGGTCCCGGTTTAGCGCGTTTTGCTTCGCGCACGTTTTCCATTTCGCGGGTTGTTATTACAACAAGGTATGTTGCAAACCCAGTGATAAGCAAACCCTAAAACCTAATCCTAAGTATGAACTAATTACACCAATGACTCGGGAATGTCAATAGCTCGATATTTCTCAAAATCGGCGAGTTTTCAGACTGTACGACAACCCAACGACAAACAATACGCCGACAATACGCCAACAATACGCCAACGCATAAACAGCCCAACTGGCTGGCGTATTCGGCGTATTAATACGGGCGTATTAGCTGGCGTATTAATATGGAATACGGTCGCATCCCTGAACGCTAATCCCTGGCCTTAATCCGCACTGGAAATACACCCTAAGGGTGCATTTCCAGTGCGGATTAAGGCCAGGGATTAAGCCTCTGTCCTCCATCGATACTTGCTCAAACGGCTAAGTTGTTGGCAAACTTACCTCGCCTTTTCAACTTTTGGTTCCCTTATGGAACAAAACTATGTGGTAAGCTCGTACCAAGGACTTCCGTGCACTAATCCCTGGCCTTAATCCGCACTGGAAATACACCCTAAGAGATGGGGCAATCCTGTGTGAAGAGCGCGATTTGCGCTTCCCATCGAAAGGGAAAAGGGTTAGGATTCCCTTACTTGGACAAGGCGGCTGGCAGACTCGGCCCTGGGAAGAGTTCTCTTTTCAGTCTAACAATCCGAAGGCCCTGGAATCGAATCATAAGAAGATAGGGCTCAGAGGTTGGTAAAGCACCGCACTTCTCGCGGTGTCCGGCGCGCCGTTGACGGTCCTTGAAAATCCGGGGGAGCATTTCCGATCTTGCCAAGTCGTACCGCATCAGGTTTCCAAAATGAACAGCCTCTAGTCGATACAACAACGTAGATAAGGGATATATCCAAGCAAAGAGCTTTGTACTCAGGTTTGCGATCGGGAAGGGTTACCAGTACGGTTACGGCCAACGCTCGCGTCGGCCCTGAGAGCTTTTGACAAACCATAATTGTACTCACAGTTGGATGATACAGAGAGAATAAGTAAGCTAGGTCCCAAACGCGCAGTACAGCTCCTTACAGGGTGTTTCCACTTGTTCAAACACTATCTTCGGTACACTATGTGCTAGTGTGGACTTAGTGTAGTGCTAGTGTGACGGTGTTTCCACTAGCGGCACTAAGGAGCGCCGAAACCAAAATTGTTTTCGTATTTTGAACGTTTTAGCGCCAGGGATTAATTGCTGATAATTGTCAAGGTCTGTAAGAATTCGTGTATTTAAGATCCGCTGCGGCGCAGCCTGCGTCATGATGTCCGCCATGAAGTCCGCATGGTGCATTGGCAACGGCCGGCCAGCAAAGGAAGGCAAACGAGCAGTATATGTTTGCTGAACGTTATTGAAGGAGGGCTCCATTGCAAAATGGCGGTGTTCTGAGGCTGTCGGTGTTGGGCGTGCGCAAGTCAACGCGGCGTTTGCAGGAAGGAAAAAAGATTGCTGCTTACGTCTAAAGTCTATGGTTAGAAGGGACAATCCAGCTCATAAAAGTTGCCCGCCAAATAGTTAGTGCTAGGTACTAAAGTTAATGGCAGGTCTGAGGTCCAATTAACTCTAGTGTGCGCTAGTGTGGACTTAGTGTACGGGGTGTTTCCACTAGGCCTTACGGTTCCCCGCCAGGAGTGCCCCAACCTCCAATTTGTTTGATGAATATTTTCTACTATCATTAGTACTATCAATATATGCATTTAGAACGGCGGGAGACGAGTCCAGGACGAAGAACATTCAAACTTAGTGTTAGTGTTCGGCCAAGTGGAAACACCCTGTTAACCTTGGGCTTGAAATGGCGATAGACATTGTTGAATATCTGTCATTTTGTGCATCCCACAAACGGCTAATTTAAACTTTACATGACACTGGAGACCAAGGAAGCCGTAGCCGTTTCAAACTGGGGCCTGACGGGCGCGTCCGTGAATTTTGAGTATAAGACGTTGAATGACCCAACGTATTTGGGACATTCCTAATAAAGTCCGACAGGTTGTACGCAGCAGCGTTGCCTTAAACATAGTGCCCCGTCCAGCTGCCGGATTCTACGCAGCATGGAAAGCGCTTTGCATGGTTCTGGGTCTTCTTATAATACGGGGACATGAAGGCTTCAGCGCATGCAGAGGCAGCACGATGGCCCATTTCGTATCCGGGGCAGGTTCTTCGCGGCTGGGACAACACCGGCACGGCCGGCTGCTTGTCAGCAGCTCTGGAGTGGCAAATGTATCAGATGGCTCCCTCTTCGTGGCCGCCTTGCGGGATCCAGCTGTCAAACGTATTGTTCTCACATCCCCACTGGTCGATGTCCCACCTGATACCTGGGAGGCGGTCGGCGGCAACCTGCCCATCCCCATTACCCGCAACTTGACGTTGGAAGGAGACGAGGCGGACTGGCCGCTCCTGCGCCTCCATTACGTGAGGGACGTGGTGAGCAAAGACGGGGGTGCTGTACATACTTAGGTACGCTGGTGAGTTATTGATGCAAGGGCGATGCATGCAAAAGTTACGAGTTGCACACAAATACGGGGGCCGTCCGTAAAAGGGGGGGGGCCCATGGACGGTCAATGGCCATTATTATGACGCCAAGTGAGGACATTTACATCCTCTCCAGCTCGCCTTGGCTCAGCACGCCTGAGTGCAATGTGACTGGTCTCCGAGACCTCCGAGAGAAAAAGAGAAAACTAGACAAAGCCACAGGGGGCCGTTCCGCCACAACAGCACGCATTTCTCGCCCTCGCAAGCCAATGCCCCTCCATATCTTGCTCGAGAGCCCCCATAGGTCGGTGGGCATTCACAAAAGACATGCAGCTCCTCCTCACCTATTCCACAGTCACAAAGCCTGCAGGTGTCTACAACCTAAGCTGAAGCGCATGAGCACCTGGTGCAATGGTCTAGGCAACACAGCCCCGGTGTGAGAAAGCCACCCAGCTGCACTACCTTAAAAGGACATGGAGATGCTACCATCCAATTCAGATACCGGCATGCCTTCATAACCCCATCCGGTGACTTCGGTGGGAAAAGCCCCGTGGGACGGCGAAAGGGTGCTAGCACACGCCCACCTCGCATCGAGCCGCTTAGAGAACGCTTTCAGTAGCATATTGAGCAACCAAATCCTCGCCCTGGGGGACCTCAGCAGCTAACGCTCCATACTGCCGTACTTACATGTACATCTCATCCGCCACTCTTGCGTTCCTTGTCATGTATCATCAGGTTCGGCTCATGGACACGGTCATCTGGGCTATCCGTTTCCTAGTCCTGGACGGCGCTAACGGAGGCAACAACTATCGCGAACAGGGCAAGTTAGCTGGCGTTACTTGCTTGGTGATGTACACATGCACGCATGCAGCCCGGAAAGCCACAGCTGAATCGCAGCTATTACACTGCTGCTTGTGTTGTAATAGCTGCGGCTGCCATTGCTCCAGGACAGAGGTGCCGTACATGCCACACGCTGGTAGTAAATGCTGGCTTTTGCGCCAGGCGTCTTGGTTTATTTACCCTTTCCCTCTCGTCTCTTATTCTCATCTCATGAACGATATGCGATTATGGATAACCCACTGCATCAAGCATACAGAGTGCAAGGCAAGGAGCCCATTAGTTACGTATCAGATTTGTTGCACATACGGCCATGCATGGCACATACACTGATCGACTGGTGCGTTTATTGTATACGGTGGTGCAGGCTTTTCCTTCCCGGCTCCCACACTGCCAAGCCAAGGGTCAGAAGTGCAGCTGGGCCCGGCAGCTATGTCAATGAGTAAGTCCAACAATGCGTACTTGGGTGGCCACACTTGCCTGCTTCTCCTGCTGTCCTGTGTGTCCTGTTGCGCCCTGGATGTTCTCCAACATTAATAGATCGGTGCCTGGGAATGCGTGCACGAATTACACAGTCGGCATGTCGAGCACCCATGCAAGCATTTAGCTTATTGCCTCGATAATGGCTGAAGCTTGAATCCTTCACTATCCGTGCACATACCGTCGGATGTGCCACTAAGCAATCATCGTTAGCATCACGGTGGCCGTGCATGCGAGGCTTCATCATGACGAAGCCTCGTTGCTGATCATACGGCACCTAACTTGTATACCAGCGCACGATCTGTAGACAATGTGATTTGAACAGATAATGGTGTTTATCCGGCTTTGATGATGTGTGAAGTAGGTGGGGGTACAGCTCACCCGTTGCCACTAGCCGGGCAGTCCCCCTACCACCTTCCCCACTGTTTCCGGGCACTCTCATCCTCCTCATCACCCACATGTGTCGGCTTCAGCCAAGTCAGTGACTGTTACGGGGTCAGCACCCACCACCACTACCATCCAGGGGAATCTTCCGAATCAACTCCCGTGCCATTCCAGTCCTGGCCGGCTTGCAGGTCACTATAACTGAGTCCATCACCGTCCATCAGCATGGGGTTACATCTAGCCTCTTACGGTCGAGGGATTTTTTCTCGCTCATTGTCGAGATCAATGCTGGAACCAGGGACACTAGGGACACACAACTAGGGACACCAGGGACACTATGCGCTTTAACATAATTGCTGCGCATGCCAGACTTGGCGCGCCAGCAATCCATGCGTATGTTGTCAGCGTTGCCCGGGGTTGAATATAAAACATAGAAAAATAGGGCAATAATAGGCAATACCGCTTGGGGGCCTCTCCGCCCCAGCGAAGGATAGAGCGACGAATGCCTGTTGCGTGTCGACAACCATTTGCCCAACAGTGCGAACTGAAAAGAAGAAGATAGGCGACAAGATGGGGAAAGCAAACCATGATAAGAAAGAAAGGGAAAAATCATAAAAGGCTGAAAGGCTGTACCCAGTTGCGCAAGTGCGGCAGTAGGTCGCTGTATGTAGAGCGATTATAAGCAATTGGACTGCTGATTTAGGTGAAGTGAAGCCTGCAAACATACGTGGGTGCAAATTACAGGATTGTCCATTGTTAAGCAACCATTGTGTAAGCCTGCATGATGGCAATGATTGGATGACCTGAATCCAGATGCAACTCGCGTAACAGGCCTGTCCCATGCTTATTGCCCGTGCATTCGTACGTATGCGTCTGTACGTCCACATGTACCCGTGTGATCTTTTCAGGGATCTGTTTCCCAAGTTCCTTGCAGTTGAACTCAGTCAGCTTAGTTCGTAGGCCAGACAAGTACGCGGATGCCAAACAGCGGGTCAATCCGGGCTATTATCCGGAGGTAGGTGGCTGACTGGCAGACTTCTGCCGCCTATGTATGGCACACTCTTGAAGTATTGTATGTTACACTGCACACTGCACACCATGTATGGATTTGTAGCTAGATAGTGCGCTGCTGGGTAACTCTTAGACTCCATTTACTATCACCATGTTATCACGTATGTCCATACAAACATACGTGCATACATATGTACGTACATCCGTACGTATCACATCATCTTGCTGGTTAAGCCTTGATCCCTGTCTGCAACAGGGTGGCTGCCGCAACGGGTCCTCTGTGCCGCCACTACAACGATGTTGGCCAGATGGTGCCCTCGTAGTGGAGGTGGCGGGTGACGGCATCCGCATTGACCCGTCCTCAGACAAGTCCGTCCCCACCAACACCATATTCTATCTTCAAAATGTCACCCTCCTGTGCGAACACTCCGTGAGTATGACGTGCCTCACAGAGCAGCAGGTCGAGCCCCTGGTCTGCTATCAGGAAACGAAGCGCCAGTTTGAGAATGACACCACGTCTTTCTTAGACGATTACCGACCAGATCTGCAGCAGCCTGATAACAGCAGAGGCCGCCGGCGCCATCGTGCAGTGGTGGTGGGGGCTGCAGTTGCAGGTGGGTGGATAGTCAGTGATCAGGGCACCAGGATGTAGGTACTCACTTACTCGGTACGGTACGGTAGCATACAGTAACGGTCGGCAGAGTCATCCGCTAGAGCAGCACAATTACAGCCTTCCCAGCCAGAAAGCCGTGCTTGTCTCTTCCTGACTACTACTTCATTCCTCTGTTCATATGGGTGAGGCACACATCCGTGCACTGCGTTCTTTTAGGTGCATGTCTTAGGCAGTTCCGAGGGCGAGTTTCCCTCCCGCCAGACGAACCCCGCGGGAGGACATTGACCTCGATGCTGTCAGCACGCCTAGGTGGCCGGCCACTAGGAGCGAGCGCAACAGTCTGCAAGCTCGAGAAGCCGAGCTAGCTCGCGGCATATATGCCCCATGCCAACCGCGCCATGCCCAACATACGACACCCCACCCCAGCGCCATCGTCACTTTTTCTACTTTTACCAATCGCCGCCAATATCCCTCTGTCTGTGAGTGCCAACGACGCCATACGATCCCAATTTCGACGTGCCCTGGGTGCATTTATGCCGCCTTCCTTTCAAGTGCTCTGGAGCACAGTCTTTACGTGGGCAGCACCAAAGAGACAATTGCCAAGCGCCATCGACAATACGTCCGTGAAGCCAGTCGTAGGGTCAAGGCAGGCCGCCTTCAAGGCAGCCGTCTTCACAGACACCTGTGGAGGCATGGCGTTAGCCGCCGCACCACCTTACCACTTCAACTCAGCCCGCGACACCCGGGGCTGTAGCACGCGCACTAGAAGTGGTCTGAATGCAATGCCTACGTTCCCTGACAGCATTCCATGGGATAGGCCTTCAAGTACACTTCACAAGCCGTCTTATGGTGGCGGACCAGTCCGTCTTCAGTGCCGCAACAGACGATGACAACCACCTGCACTGGCACAGTACCACACTGTACCGCCGGTTGTACACCTGCGGTGTTGTACATGAATGCGGGAGAGCTCTCAAGGCCATGACCACCCAGCACCACCCAGGCTACAGGACCAGTGGCCCACCCGAATTGTCAGCTGGATCAAGGGGCGATTACAGCAATCTTCCCCTGTGCAACATACAGAACGGGCGGCCACACAGTACATTACTGTGGCGGACTACAACGTCGTCTTCGGGACAATCCCTGATAGCCCCTGCATTCGGTTCGACCACATTCTCGAGTGGCAAGCATGTGGTAACCCAAAATGCCTCCCCCAGCCCCCTTCATGGCCAACCTCTTCCTCACCTGGGTCAAGTTTCACTTGCTGCGGCAGTACTACAAACCCCTGACCAAGAAGCCACAATGATCTCTGCTCGGGCGATCCTCACCCGTTTCTGCGTCAGAAGCCTCTTCCTTGACAACCTGGCCTTGCTCGACAGCCCCTATTACCTTGCAGCCTTCCTCCACCAAAACTACGTCCACCCTCACACCGGACAGAAGGGCATAAATCCAGCAGAGCTCGGCACCCCGGTACAACACCAGGCCCACCTTTCACCCACCCGCTTCCCCTTCCTCGATGTCGTGCTTGTCCACCTGCCCGTCGGCATCCAAAGAACGCACATTCAGCCGGTTCACCACACAGCTGTGCGACAAGCGGGTGCAGCCAGCTTTCACACACGGTTGCCTGTCCAGCGATCGTACCGGCATCCTCAAACGTCAACGAGGCCGCAAAACGATACATTATCGCCAGCCAGTTTCAACCGCTACGGGGTGTCATCCTGGATATGGACAACTTTGTCTACGAGGTGGCGCGGCTGATCCTGCCTTATACTCTCCGATCAGAACTACCCGTTGCATCGGCTTCTGTGGACTAGCGATGAGCGCGCTACACCTCACCGCCCACTGGTTCTTTAGGCAGCCCCCGCACATGGCCCTGTCACAGCGCATCTGGGCGAATGTACGAGACCTGCAAAGCGCCCGCTGAACTCCTCCTCTACTCCCGTCCTTCAAAAGTTCCCCTCTCGTCCCTCTCGTCCTTTTGTCCCACCAGCCCATCCCACCAGCCCTTTCCAACTGCCCTTCCCGCCTGCCCTGCCCACCTGCCTTTCCCACCAGCCCTTACCGCCCGCCCTTCACACCTGCCGTTGTATACCCCTATACCGGCAACTTCTGCGTGTCGTGCGAATATACACTTGGGCCCCACGATGCTGTGGGCTGCTCCCATGAGCCCGTACATCGGCCCTGCCTGTCATTATGCCACATACCCGCACCCCTTCGTCTTATTGCCCGCCCCATCCCCTACAACACCACCTCACAGCATCACCACCAGCATTTCCCGCATCGCGGCTCAGGTATTAAAACCACCTCACAGCATCAAAGCTCTTCGTTTTTGTTACCTCTTTCCTGGATTCTGCTCCAGTACCTTTTCCATACTTCATCGCCCATTTATTCCTACTCTGGTATCTTCTTTTATTCCTCTATTTCCTTCTTCCCTTTTTTAACTTTGGACCGCCGCGCGCACGTGTCTTTGCGCCTTTGCAATTGACCTCGCATGCGCACATCTTCCGAACAACGCTGCTGCTCTTGCCGCTCTGCCGGCATCCTCTATCTTTTCCAATCGCTTTGGTAGCATGGCCCTCTGCTTTGTCCGCAATCTTAGGATAGGAAAATAAGTTTTTAGATTCTACGTAGCTGGGACCTTTTTGTGTCCTCGTTGTTTGTAGCCAGTTTTAGCCGCCCACCACCTAGTCGCCCTTCGACACTATAGCGCACTTATTCCTACGGGTTACTGACACCAATTTTTAATAAAGCAACATCTACTTGAAGTTACGAGCTAAGTCTGCAGTTTACTTTGAAAAATTTTAACACATCGCTGGACTCCTAGCACCTACCCAGCACGATGCGTGCAAACTCCGAGAGCATGGCGATAAATCACGGCGCGATGCTTTTTTATACGCAGGGGCCGTGGTTGCTGTGTTCCTAATAGTGTCTATGGTTTTCGCCACGGTTGCTCGGGAGTGGTGGCAGGGGCGCCGACTGAAATATCGCAAGGATGCCGCCAACATGTTTTCACCTTTGACGTACAGCGTCGATCGCACCAGCCTTGAGTCTGGAAGGTAACGGAGATTGCTTTTGTGCACAGCTAATGCCTAGCAGCGTGTCAATCCGGCATAGGAGCCAATGGGCTTCATAACGTAGCTATGTAGCTGTAGGTGCTGGTGGCTGGTGGCTGGTGCATCATGAGTTTTCAGGGTGATGGCCACCCCACCCCAACAGGAGCTCCAGAGACTCATTGCAAAGTTCTTTGTGCGTTAGTCGCAAAGGGTCTTAGGGACTTCCTGGTCAGTCACACAGTTAATAACAAACCGCTGCTGGTCACCCAATTAAGCAAAAGCATTCGTTATGGCTGGAATGCTTGTGTGCCCATTTTCAAGGTACGACTGCTGCTGCTGCTGCCATTCACAGCTTGGTCACGCAAGCTGCCGGTCTCCCCCCCCTACCGCTACTGTATGTGAATACGTATGTATGTAATGTTTGTGTGCCTGCCAACAGTTGCCCAGGTCCTGCCGCTCAGCAGCTGATCTCCTCCGGTACTGATGAAGGGAGCGGTGGTGGCAGTGGCATGCAGCAGCAGGGCCCCGTCGTGGGACCTTCCGGCCGCCTCAACTCATCTCCACCAGGTGAGGTTGAGTGCGATCAGTGATAATACCTAATAAGAAACAATGTCTGGAGTCTGCATTGATACCTGCTTGTTGCGGTAGGCAGCGTTGTTCCTCTGCAGACTGCCGTTGCAAGGACCGTCTGGGCTGCTGGGTAGCTTGTCCGTTAGTCATCCACTGTCCATTTACTCAGTTAATTGCAGCTGCATTTCGTCGCCTGCTGGCTGCGTTGCGTGGTGCGGCGTCCCTGCCTGATAGAATATATTGCTTCGGTCGTCAAATGACGATGTACTGCAGTTCTCGGCAGTGATTACCAAACGATGTAACTACTGATAGATGCTGGCTCAGCCATCTATCAGCCAGCCTAGCTGCTGCCTGTCCATCCATCCGCCATCTATAGCCGCATGGTTAACATCCCTAATCACTGCTGCACCGCTCACCCTTGCATGTCCTTCCCTGGTACGGCTATTCCGCTTACCACCCTACTACTGCAATACCAGAAGTTGCAGTGGAAGTAGAGGAAGTGCAGCCTGGCGAGCAGCAGGTGGTTGGCACCGAGCCGACCGTGGTGACGCCTCTGGAACAGGCTGCCGTGGTCATCACCCCAGACACGCGGCCACAACCCAACCTGGAGCTGCATGTGCGGTTAATGGACCCCGCTGGTGCCGTCACGGGTGTCGTACCCCTGCACTCGAAGGAGGAGGAGGTCAGCGGCAGTTGCAGCGGCAGTGCTGGTGGTGTTCCTCCCTGTAGTGGTAGCAATGTGGTGGAGCTGTCTCCGGTGGTACGCGGCAAGGGCACCTTTGGTCGAGTGGTGGAAGGTACTTACCGGGGGCAGCGAGTGGCTGTGAAGCTTCTGGCCAGCGACGGACCCTGGGGATGCCCCATCGAGGCCTTGGCCTCCAGCTTTGCGCAGGAAGTGCAGGTAGGGTGCACGGGGGTGGGTTGGGGGTAGGTGCGGCTGGGTTTGACTCCCCCCCACGCCACGCATAACACGCAGACACGCGCCCGCCAACTAATGCTGTTAACCGCATGCCACTCCTTGCAAGTCCGCTCTTGTAGGTAGCCAGGTGTGTCGTGCAGTGACGAAGTGGTGCATGCTACTGGTGCGCTGCAGCTCCTGACAGTGACTTCGTACATCGCCCTTGATCCGTACACTTAGGTGCTGAGCCGCTGTTATCACCCAAATATTGTGCGACTGCTGGCGGCCTGTGTGGAGTCGCCGCGGCTGTGTTTGGTTCTGGAGCTTATGGAGACTTCACTGGAGCGCCTTATGTACGGAGACCCGACAGCCCAGCCGATGCCATTGCCAAAGGCAAGCTAGTACGCCATATGTATGACGTGTATATAATTGCACCAGGAATGGAGCTGATAGTCGACGTGGTGATATTGGGTGCCGGGTGCAGGTTGGTAGGTGGTACGTGAAGAGTCGTCGCGTTCCTCGTTCACGCTCTCACCCACCTGCCTGCCTGTGCATGGTTCGGGTGTTCATCCCATCACTTAACCAACCAAGCAGCGCCCTGCACGCACGACCAGGGCGCCTAGGTGTGCCCACGTTCATCCATGCCTCACCCACTCCCCATCAGGTGCTTCATATCACCATATCCATTGCCAACGCGCTGGCCTACCTGCACCCCACCATCAGTCACCGGGACCTCAAGGTACGGTGTCGTACAATTGCTTGTAACTTGTACATTTCGGTGTCGTTCGTGTAGCGGCTAGCTAGACCGTTGTCCGTGCAGGACGGACATCTCACGCACTAAGGTGTATGCGGGTTCGGAATTAGGAACGATTCAGTTCACAGCTACTCGACCCACTCGGCGCCTTCACCTTCGCTGGACCCCTCCTTCCTACCACTACCTGATACCCTCTCCTGTCACCCTTGCCCTCGTCTCACTGGCGCCTCTGATGTGGTGCTGCATGTGGTTCATTCCTTCACTCCCTTTTGCCTTCCCTTCCCTGTACCACCGTCTCGCACCTATCAGCCTGCCAACGTGCTGCTCAACGACCCCCACAGTGACCGGCCCACAGTTAAGCTTACGGTATGTGACTTGTTGCGAGTTGAGGAACTGAAGAAAGGGAAAGCATGTACGGCACATAAGGCGCTCCCACACCCTCGGGCACCGCGAAGGGACCCTCCCACTGCATTTGTCGTTAATGTGTGAATATGTATGTACACATATAAGCATGGTTTTCGTGGTGCCTTGCTGTCGCTGTCGTACTGAACTCTTTAAAAAATAGCATAGGAATTCGTCTTTAGCCCGTATGCGGTACATGGTGCCAAGGGCGTCTTCACCCTCCCTTAGTTGCAATTACCGCACCCTGCATGCGTGCCTTGTTAGTCAGCCAACAAGCCAGCTGGAGGGTCCCACATATTTGTTCACGGAGATGGGCTCTTCCCTTCCCATGCAATTTCCAGCGCTGTCGACATCGACTGCTCGTGGGGCCGCTTAGGGATTCGCCCGCTTCCCAGCTGCCCCTACGACAGACCAGTTACATGCCGTATAAAGCTGCCGTACCGCAACTCTATCGATTCCTGCAGGACTTTGGGCTGTCTCGGCTTCGTGTGACGGTGGCTCCAACGGAGCATCCGGATGCAGGCACGGTGAGCGGGCAGGTGGCGGCAAAGTGAATGAGGCGACAAGGACCGCAGGATTGCGGGAAGTTAGACGGCCAGGACGGGGCCAGCGGATTTACACAATCCAGATACGACAAATTGGGGCCCTATGGTGGGACTAACTGTACTCGGCTCCACAGTAGCTCAGGAAACCTCATTGTGAGCCTCTATCTACTCGCCTGTAAACCCTCATTTACCGGTGTGTACGGCACTTCTGATGGTCTGAAATCTGACTGCCCAATCTGCCCACCTTACGTGACAACAACTGCCATACAACTGCGGCACTCTACCTCACCCCAGCCCGCCTACATGGCACCGGTGAGTTCATTCACTGTGTTGGGGCTCCGTGGCTGCTGGGTCCGGGGGTGCGGGAGGTGGGGGAGGTTGTGATCGTCTTGCTTGTCCATCAGGTATTCCGTTCATGTATTGCTTTTTGGTAGCTGGTAATGTTTACTCCAGGACCATGGTCCATGAACCCCGTCAGGTGTTGGGGGTGCCAGCGATGTAAGGGGTTGGGGGTCGCTATTGGTGACCAGTTCTCGCAGGTATATATCCCTTAAGGAAGAGGATTTGCGACTGCAATATCCGTTTGAATTCGAATCAGGGCATAATGTTTCCTGTTGGGTTAAGTCCACCCCGGCTACTAAATGGCGGTATGTGCCATGGTTAAATGCACAGCCGTCCACAGAGACGTGCGATTCATGGCACCGCAGAGGGTGCCTGATGGAGGGTTAGTTAACATCCATCCAGATGCCGGCGGGCAGTTTCGGGAGATTGGCAACACAACACGGATCGATCGGGGCCGCATACGTATATACGTATATACCTACCACCTTCCCCACTGTTTCGGGGCACTCTCATCCTCCTCATCACCCAACAGGAAACATTATGCCCTGATTCGAATTCAAACGGATATTGCAGTCGCAAATCCTCTTCCTTACGGGATGGCTTTTCCGGCAATGTTGATATATGTCGACCTCATAGGGAGCCCTAAATCCCCTGTCTTCCTCTACCTGGTTAATACTTCTCCCAACCCCTGGTGTCATCCAACACCCTCCCTTGCTGCATGCATGCACGCAGGAGTGCTTCGACTTGCAAAACAGCCAGGTCACACATAAAGCGGTAAGGGAGGGATCCAGCAAAGGTGTGAGGGAGAGAGGGCCAGGGTGGATGAGGGGGACCTACCTACATACCGCGGTGCGGGAAGGGGTATCTCGTATCCCAGATGCAGGGAGCTATCAGGCCGACGATTTAACTGCCCTGAGCCGATAAAACCGTTCACCTGGGCTACTTGGCTGGCAGACGGCCTGCAGTACAGACCGTTTTTGTGCTTATCCTGTGCCCGGGTCCAGCAAGCAGGCAGGCTAGGCCGCATCGTGCCACAACCTAGCCGCCCCCGCCATCACTGACAAAAAGGCAAGCAAGCAATGGCTGGCGTCTCTGCATGGTCAGTGTATCCCACGTCTCTCATCATGGCGCCGTAACCATCATGTTTGTGTGTGTGTGGTGGTGGTACTGACGCCTCCGTCATCGCCACACGCCTTGCTGCACCCTCACCAGGATATGTTCGCGCTGGGTGTGCTGCTGTGGGAGATGCTGGCCTGCAAGAGGCCCTGGCCTGGACTGAACCCGCTGGAAATCGGCCTGATGGTGGGTGCATGCGTGCATGCATGTAGAGATCTCTGCTAACCGTGCTGTAGTGATGACATTGGGCGAGCTCCACTGCCTACGAAGGTCATGGCCGAATTGTAGCCGCAGCTGCATTTATCTGCTATTTGGCTACTGTGGGCTGCTAGCTGCTCCACTGGCGACCACTTCACAGCGAGTGCCTGCAGGACGCTCGGCCCATGCCTGCCGGTCAGACTGCCCACCGTGACAGAGCCACTCATCATATGATACGAAACCTTTAAGAATGAGTGGACCCTATGTCCCGAGAGCACAATGGTTTCTTACCACAGTGAATTGCGTTTGTGGCCCTTCCTCTAATAACAATGGCCGTTTTGTTGTCCGGTAACCTGTAAGCCGGCACAACTTGGCATCATGCATACATTGAACAGCATGAATTACCAGGAAGCCCTCGGAGGATATGCGCCTGACTTGTGCACCTTGGTAGGTATTTCCAGGTAGATCCAGCCTCTGCGTAACACTGCTGGCGTGAAAGGCACTGCAATTGCACAACCATCCGCCAGGGCTGTGTACCGGGTGCATAACGATGTTGACGTGCAAAGGTGTTGTTGCCGATGCACTGACAACGTACATGCGTCCCATGCATAGGTAGCGTTCAACGGCATGCGCCTTCCCCTGAACGACCTCGTGGTCTCCGAGCGCTGCCCACTCAAGCTGTGTCGTCTGCTGCTAGCCTGCTGGGAGACAGATCCGGACCGACGGCCGGCGGCTGCAGAGACAGTGAAGGAGCTGGCGCTGATCTTGGTCAGTAGTGAAAAGGGGGCGGATGAGCGAGACAAGTTCGATATACATAGCTGGGAAGCTGCAGGCAAAGGAGGGGCCGGTATTGCGTATGTATAAGTAAGAGATATTGCGTATGGTCGTACACTCCTTTATTAACCAGCTGTCGTGGATCGTGCCTGTTTCATGCGTGGCGCTTGGGACGGCGCCAAAGGTCCTAGAGGTCTTGGGTCTTGGGTTCTGCTCATCCTGCATTCAACTTGCTGCTGTCTCAACACCCACCTAACCACCAGCCATAGTACCAGTAACTTGTCAATCATGCGCGCTGTATTGTGCTGCCGCTGCACTCTGCTTGCCGTACCGTTCCACATAAGTTCCCTAACACACATGCGCCGCGCATGTCGTTCCTGCATGCATTCACATACGGCTGTATGCCTCTTCAGCAACTTCAGCCGCAACAGCAGGTGCAGTTACAGCCACCATCCGCTGTGGTCAACCCGCCTGCCCTGCAGCAAGGTCGGCAGCTTCAATTCAAACAGCAGCTGGTGCAGTCCGCACTGGATAGGACAGGACAGGAAGGCGGCGGTGGCCCTTGTTTGCAGCTACCGACTGCTCCTCGGGCTGAGTTCACTGCCGCGGCCGCTGCTGATGCTCGGGATGGTGATGTTGCCCTTGCCCCGCTGGAGCACGGATCGCGGCAGTCCATTGTCCGGGTATGGCTCCCGGATATCAGTGAGGAGAACCTTCGGGGCAATCCCTCATATTCCAATTCATTATCACAAGCAGGAGGGGCAGCTCGAGGAGCAGCAGCAGCAACAACAACAGCAGCAACAGTGGCCTAAGCTAGCTATCTCGCTGGGGTGGACCAAGGGCGGCTGCAGGAGGGGGGATATATACTTTGTTTTCCTGGTAGGCACGCGTGCACTGTCGTCACGGGAAGTTATCTGCGGCATCACTGCACTGAGCAGTTAGGTACTTGTTGAATCGCTAATCAGCAGCGCGTGTTTGCGTGCTTTCCCAAGGCATGCCTCCCATGTCAGTTGTTTGTCTTGTTCGATGAACAAATGGAACATCTTCGATTGGTGGTGAATGACGCGGGTATGTGTAATTAAGTATGTACATCTGTTCGGAAGCACCATGCGCGAACGGCTGCATCAGGATAAACCTACATATTAAGCAACGCACGTGAGCGGCAAAATGTTTTCCTCGAGGCAAAAGGCTGGACGGGGACCTCGTATCTTCCTCTTCAGCCGTCCTGTATGTGCACACACTAAGAATATATGATAGGTGCTCAAGGGCTGTTGCAAGCAGGCATAGACGGCTGGACAGCTGCTTGCGGCCGGCCAGACTACAGGGGTGTATCGCCATCCTTGTGCATGTTGTTAGGCGATCTGCTGTGCGCGTGGCACCCGCTGGAGCGACTCCAGAAAGATAGCTGATGCATGGCCAGCTTCCTGTAGCAGTTACTATGTAGCGGGCCGGCAGTGCTGCCATAAGTGCGTGTCTAGCTAGATGCATGCAAGCGTGAATGAACAACTTGGGCACCCTTGTTTGCCGGGGGTGCAGAGTTACCAAATGACAATGGGCCCGGGTTCCACCCTGCCCGGAGCTCCCCGCTATGTGCCGTCTACTTGCACCCGTACTGCCGTCGAGCATGAGAGGCATCGGCATGGGGGGTAATGCTTGCATGCGGGTATCATGTAGTAAAAGGAGGATTCCAATTCGCAAATAGCAATGCAAATGGCGGGAGGGGGTAGCACGTGCGCCTGCTGGCTGCATGCCGTTGCATGCGGCACCCTTGTGCTGATGCCCAGCCGGCGCATGCCGCCGCTTTTTCCAACACATGAAGTAGTCCGGTACGAGGTTATTCGACCCGGATGGGTGTACTGGCTTGCTAAAGGGGACGATGTACGGGGATGTAACGAAGGGTTTCCTTCAGGAGAAGAACTAAAGGGGATGATAACCCTCTGGAAACCCTTCTTGTTTACCATCTGCTTGCTGCCACTAAAGCCGGCGGAAAGCTAGGCAATTGTGGGGTATTAGGTAGCTAGGTTTTTAGTTGCACACATGCGGCAGGGCTAGCTGGTGGGATATGGGATGTTTGCAAGCGTCTCTCTGCGGCGGTATGTGTCTCGGCGTACTGCACATGTTCGAGTGGTACTGCTGCATATGCACATGGGATCCTTAATCAATTCCACTTCTCTTGTTGATGTATTGTCTCAGTAACTTGGGACGGCTAGCTCGAAACTCGGTAAGGTCATGTTCTTAAACTTGTCATTCGATGCTTTGCTTGGTAATGCACGATGCACAGCACGGCTTCCACAGGGCCGCTCGTCCGTTAATTCGGTGTTTACACCGAGCTTGCGTCCGTCCACGTGGGCAGTGTCCTTGTGGAGATCACAAGACGCCTTGCATTATCGGGTTGAAGGTTCGAATGGTTATGAAGGTGCAATCCTATTTAGGCCCATCTAGCTGCGGCGGTAATGGAGGGGGGATAATGCGTGGGTAAGTGCGTGATATACGTGAATAAGTAGCAGTGCCCTTAAGATTTTGTGAAGCCCTGTTGCGTTTCCGAACAACAAGCAATGTTGGTATTTATGTCACGAGTTACATTTCTTTCCTTTATTTGGCTGTCGGTACAGTATTAGCACGGCCATCATCATGCGTAGTCTCATGCGGTTAAAAAGGGCCGCGCAATTTCTATACGCGCGCGTATGAGCCTTCTGGCTCTGCTCTAACTAGCTGTTACTTAGACGCGGCAGGAGGGAAGCGACTAGAGTATCTAAGTTAGGGTTTGAACGGTCGCCTGTCGGCTAGTCAGTTAGTCAGTTGGTCCTGGTGAAACCGATCGCCGGAGCATCTTACAAGTAGCTGTTCACGCCTATACGTCGGCATTCTGCCTAAACCATCAGGAGCTGTTCGCTCTTATATTTTTTTACATTCTGCGGTGTAAGGCCCAATCCCAAACGCTCCATTTTATATATATGTGCGTGTGATCCTATATCGGGTTATTGGTTGGTGGTTGCCTGTTCACTTCTCATGTATGGTGCCCGTGCTTGTGGGCCAGGCTTCTGCTGTGAGGGGACGTTGTTAGTTGCTTGGAGCAACGAAACGCCGGGGTGGGTGGACGAGCAGGGTACGTGTTTCGGTGCTGGAAACTTACAGCTAGGCAGGACCACCTACACTCAAACCAATAATGTGTCCATCATCGTGTACATCAGCAGCGACCCACATACGTGCCTTAGTGGAGATTATATGGTATGAATGTCACATGTCCATCTATTCTTGCACATATGTATTGAGGCAGAACAGGAAGCAGGGGCTTAGCCAGGATATCGTGATGTGCATGTGAGGCCGCAACTCGCCTATCTAGGCAATAATAAGAGTAGATGTCCACGTCCTATCCACTGTGCACGCCTTCAACAACGCATTCTCCTTCATGCACAGATGGCCTGGCATGCTGGATAGGGATGGTTGCACGCGGGTTTGGTTGCTCGTAGGAATGCTGAGTTAGCGATGCTCTGCACTCGATGTTTCAAGTGTAATACCATGCGACACCCTGCACTTCAAGTGTACGCGCCCGATGGCAGAGAATTTTGGAGTATGATATGTATCCTTTCCAATGCATGTAATGCATGCCAAGACATTCAGCCGGTTACTTGCTTTGGATGTTGCGTAAAGCACAAAGCTACCTCAACAGCTTTATGTCCTGTATATAGCCTTCACGGCTCGCTATAGAGCTGTGTTCGAGGTTTCCTATCGGAAACAGCGAGGCGGAAACGGAAACGGGGCTGCCAAGGGTCTTATTAATTACTGCCAAGGGCTCTTACACTTCTGCAGACTGCTGCTCTCAGAACGACAGCAGGGGCGCGTGTGCACCGAAGCGCGGTCTAGCCCACACTGCGTGGTCAAAGCGCACGCAGCGCTATCCAGTGCGGCCGCACTGGCACGGCCGACAGAACTGACACACAGCACTAAACGACTAACAGCAGCATTGATGAGCGCGTCACGTTCGCTTTACATCCGCCCCGAGAGCAAACGTGCGGTGTCAGCGACGCACAAACCACAAGCAGTACCTAACTGCTATGCATAGCCAACCAGGACAGCAGCCGTTAACCATTGTGCAAGTTGACTTTGAGGAGGCGTTTGACAAGGTGCCGGGGGAGGTAGTCTGGCTTCGTTTGCAGGAGAGAGGGGTTGAAGGGTCCATGCTGCAGTCGCTGGTGCGGGCATACGACAAGGTTATATACAATGGTCATCAAGACGAATGGCAAGACTGGGGGCGAATTTGAGTGAAAACAGGGTGTGAAACAAGGCTGTCCGCTGTCAACTGAGTTGTTTGGACTTTTCATTGGAACTCTTGCGGACGCCATCGATATGCATGACGGTGTTAACGCCAGGGTACGGCCGGAGGATGCACCGAAGGTTGGGAATGAACGAATGTCTACCTTCCTCTATGCTGATGACGTTAGTCTCATGGCCACGACACCCGAGCGCATGGCGGAGCTGCTCCAAATCGTGGACATGCTCTGTGATGATTTTGGGATGCGGCCAAACACCGAAATGTGGACACCTCGGTTTTGCGAGCGACAGCGACGCAAGGAGTGCTGTCCAAAGCATAGTGTAGTGGGCTCAGGCTGGCTGGGGAGGCATTACCGGCTAAGGAGACTGCGCGATATCCAGGTTTAGTGTACGGTCCAGAACGGCCGTTTCGTGCCTGCCGCCAGCACTTGACGACACAGCTAGGGTAGCTATGTTCGCACTGGTACAAACATGAATCAGCTAAACTTGTTCATTCCGGATGTGAGATGAGGTGTTTTGATACGCAGGTACGAGCAATACTGTTGTACGGTTGTCAAATGTGAGGCCGTTTATTTTGGCTGAAGTCTTGGACAGGCTCAGGAGGCGGAGTGATGGGAGTAACCTTGTGGAGGGGCCCTTCGAGACATGTCTGAAGGATGGAGCGGTGCAGCTCCAGGTATTGTTCATGCAGCAAATTGTGGAAACTGCCAGACCAGCGCACCTGTCGCTGAATTGTCGCTGAATTGTCACGGCTACCCCTACAGTACCACGTTTACAAGCAGATTGTGAGGTTTTGGAACCGTGTCCATTTACAGCGTGGCTCTGTGGCACACCAAGTTTTGCGACAGGAGATCGTCGAGGCTCTTCCAACCCCGAGGGGGGCGGATGGGGGTCACTAGTCCTCCGTTTTCTGAGTTTTCTGGTGCATGACGTAGAAATAGGCCCCGCAGGGGCTACTTGAGGCAGATGAACGAGTGGAATGGCTAATGAACAGGCCATTGCCAGAAGGTGCAGAAAGTGTGTGAGGATCGAGCGCGTCTCACCCTAGTCATGCCGTACTGGACGGCCCAACCTTGGTGGCAACAGTTGATGGAGTTGGCGGTCGACCTGGTGTTCCTGCCGTCGAATACGGAGATGTTTGCACTGGGCGAGGGCGGGTCGAGCACTTTCCTCCCCCCCCCGTCTTGGCAGGTCGTAGCAGTGCGGGTGCAGTTTTAGCGTGGGCGCAGTCGCGTGGCACTCGAGCGGATAGTGTGGCGCTTCCCCGTTACTCGTTGGATCTTCAGTCAGTTGCGGCGCCCCCCGTCATTACTAGCTAAGGCGTAGGGCCTTACGGCCGTTTAAGTGGTACGACTTGAGGCCGGCGATCCGTGTCCTCAGGATCGCCTTTTGCATAAATAGCGCGTGATGCAGGTTTTCTGTATCTTGTTTTTGTTGTTCAGCACGCGCTGAACAACGAGGCAGGTCCCGCGCCTTCGGCGCAGCGTTATTTTTTTGCGGAATATATTCCGAATTCGGAATAAAAAAATGTTCGTGGTCCTGAAAGTTAAGAATAAATAATGTTCCAACCGTACAAGTTCATTCCTCCAGCCAAAAATGGACTGTCCATGCCAAAGCAGCTAGAATCTTACAGGAGACATACATGTTACCCATATCATAGTACTTTAATGCCATGGATACTGTTTGGAAGCTCACGCCCGAAAGTCAACGAGGAATCGGACTGTTTCTGACCGGACCAAACGCTGCAAAACATTCGGACCCGAAGCTCCCAAAGCATTGAAGGCCATTAAAGCAGATACTAAATTTCACTGAAGCCATTAGCGACGTTAACGAAGACGGTGTAGGGGTCGTAGGCAATGTGGACGCAATGCTGCAGCCAGCCGACGACAATGACACCACTCCAGTGTAATATTACCAGCTCTGATTTGCTTTGGTCATTAGGCATCGTATGAGTATAAAATATGGGCAGGAAGCGCACTCTTCTCGCCGTTGTGGCCACCGTTGAGGCCTGACATTGAAGTAGCACCTTTCGCGCAAACCAAATCAGATATTCCTTACTTGAGGTCATCCATATGGAATTACCTAGAAATTAAAGTAAGATATAACGCCATGAACGCTAATCCAGATACGGAAAGTTACTACCTGGGTGAGGGCCAGGTAATAACTTTTTTGTCACAAGTTGCCAGGTAAATACGTGGGCATCAAGTTCAATTTATGTTCTTTCCTAATCTCTTGCTAACTCCTGCTAGTCCTCTGAATAGAGAACACGGTGTCCTGAGGAATTCCTTAATCCCCCGGCGAATTCTGCTTAATCCCGGTGGGATTTCCACTGCTGGGATTAGCACAGGGATTCTGGCCTTAATCCGCACTGGAAATACACCCTAAAAGTTTTCGTAACGCAACGTAGCATGTAAACATGGTCCGTAACGTTACGAAAACGTTGTGTTCGTAAACCATCTCTATTCAATGGCTTCCTATTGCCAAAACTTCAGCAGATCCCCTTACATGATACGTTATGCTGCGAAAACTTTTAGGTTAAAGTGGGCCTGAGAAAGTCACCCAGATTACATGTGGCGTTACGACAATGCTGTGTTCGTTGGCGCGAGCTGCGTAAACCATCTCCATTCTATGGCTTTCCATGACCAAAAGTTAAGCATATCCCCTTACAGAGTCACAGTATATAAATGAAGGGTTTTCGGCGGCCCTGCCTTGTGCAATGACGCTGCATCCCGAGCAAGCCCCGATGGGTTTGCCCTAGCGGCCGCTACGGATGAAAATTTTGACAACCTTGAGGATATGTTCATTCTCAATGGCAGTGCTTGAGCGTGTGGGCCGACGCGGCGCGGCCCTTGCCGCCGGAAGTGCGGCCGACTTGCTGTTTCGCCAGAGGCTTCCGCACGGGTACTGCAATGAGTTGCATATTTGCTATGTTAGCGGTCGTGAGCGGGTGAGCAACACGATCGGCGTTGTCCTTGTTCATTTTTAAATAAATGGCAGCGGTGCGACAAGAAATGCGGTGTCAGCCATGGAGCATGGGAGACGTTATATGGCTGCAAACATGAAAACCAACCCGGCACTGTTACCTGGCCCTTCCCTTACGGAAGAAGCCATTTGTCGAGTTATTGTTGACTTTTGGGGCCGCATTCAGGGTTTCGCAGCTTTGGGAATTCCACGGAAAGGTTGGGATTCTGTTGGCGCACATCACCCCTTCTTGAGGATTATATCTGGCAAATTGCTGTGCTCACGGGAGCGGTTACCGATGAGCGGTTAATTATCTGAGGTGATGGTCTCTATTGGTATATTAGCCTCTACTGCAGTGCACGGCCAGCTGGCCCGATGGCTCTACTCTTCGGGAGTCTGGAGCCCACTGTAACAACCACACACAAAAAGAAATGCGTTCGGAGTTCAAAGCGCGCACGAGTTGTCAACTATGCGATCGTGAAAAGCGATTGGGCTTGGCCGTTTGTTACAACTCGTGAAATTGGCGATGCAGTTCAGGTAACGGTACGAGGGGTCAACTTCTCGGTCACTTTACACTTTTCGTCCAACGTACCGGTAAAGCTTTTAGGAAACTAGGCACAACTACAATGTAAATAAGAGATAACCTTCCAAAATGTCAATCAGGTTTTTTTATGAGGTGCTGTAAAGCGTGTTAATCCGAGATTGTCAATTTGATACTTGGCGGCCAAGTAAGAAGCAAAGTTTTTCCACCGAGTTTGAGCTTTTAGTGAAGGAAAAATGTGCGCAATTTATAACATCTTGATCTATATATAACCCGCGAAGTGCGCGAATATGGGCGTAGATCTGTCACTAATCCCGCCAACCTTAACCTGCCTAATCCATCCTAATCCGCACGATGTTTCCATATGCAACGGATTTAGCCTGAATCCATAAATTTTAATCAAAGAAGGAACGCCTCCATAATGGAAGATAGAAAAAGACTGAGAGGCCCGAAGAAGACGGGCATTACGAACGGAGAAAGAACTGAACTAACGTGGGCTGCGCCGAAAGGGCGGGTGGGCGGGCGCGCACTGAACAATAAAAATAAGATAAGCTAACCAGCTTAATGCGCGCTAGAAATGACGGCCCTGAGGACACGGGCCGTTGCCAAACTACGCACTGGGCCTTACGCCTATCTTACAGTATCTTACTTAACGAAAACGCATTAATCCAAGGCATCGCACAAGAGACATGCCCTGAGTAAGTAAAAATAACTTTATTTCCCTTAGGTTCCAACAATATTACCTCTTTGTAAAGGAAGCTCAGGAAGCTTTCAGCCGTTTCATGCTGTGGTCGACTTGCGCGTTCATGTCATTAAGTATAAGACGTTGAATGACCCGAAATATTCGTCACATTATTTATGATGTCAGCAAGATTGCGCGCAGCAGCGTTGCCTCGGACATAGTGCCCCGCCCAGCTGCCGGATTCTACGCAGCATGGAAAGCGCTTCGTATATGCATAGCTCTGTTGCTTATACAGGGGCACAATGGCTTCAACGCCTGCAGAGGCAGCACGATGGCCCATTTCGTATCCGGGGCAGGTTCTTCGCGGCTGGGACAACACCGGCACGGCCGGCTGCTTGTCAGCAGCTCTGGAGTTGCAAATGTATCAGATGGCTCCCTCTTTGTGGCCGCCTTGCGGGATCCAGCTGTCAAACGTATTGTTCTCACATCCCCACTGGTCGATGTCCCGCCTGATACCTGGGAGGCGGTCGGCGGCAACCTGCCCATCCCCATTACCCGCAACTTGACGTTGGAAGGAGACGAGGCGGACTGGCCGCTCCTGCGCCTCCATTACGTGACGGACGTGGTGAGCAAAGACGGGGGTGCTGTACATACTTAGGTGCTGATGTCAAGCCGGTGTCATCATCTATGGTTTTGAATGGTACAAATGATGAAATTTCTGTACAATATACGCTATTGCAATATATGCCATGTATGCGGTTGCTAGGCTGACACTGTCCCACATGGCTGCTGTACTTACATGTACATCCCATCTGCCACTCTTGCGTTCCTTGTCATGTATCACCAGGTTCGGCTCATGGACACGGTCATCTTAGCTATCCGCTTCCTATTCCTGGACGGCGCAAACGGAGGCAACAACCATCGCGATCAGGGCAAGTTGCCCGTGGCGTTACTCGCTTGATGGTGTATACATGCATGCATGCAGCCCGGAAAGCCACAGCTGAATCACAGTTATTACAACGGCTGTTCGTGTTGTTCGCTGGGCTGACGTTGCTCCAAGACAGAGGTACATGCCACGTGCTGGTAGTAAATGCCTGGCTGCTGCGCCAGGCTTCACTCGCCTTTCCTCCAACTTCCTCCCTCTCATAAACGGTTGAAGCACGAGGATGACTAACCCATCGCATCAAGCAATTAGATAGCAGGTTGACACTGGCTACCTCATTGACCGATGCTGTGCAGGCTTTAACTTCCTGGCTTCCACGTTGCCAAACCAAGCATCAGAATTGCAGTTTGGGCCAGCAGCCATGTCAACGAGTAAGTCCAACCAGCCATGTGTACCTTGATGCCCAACATCCAGTACAGCCACACACGCATGCATCCACCTCCATGTGCTGATGATTTACACTTCTTTCATCACTGGTAATTGGAGAATGCATGCACGTGTTGATGTGGGCATGAACATACCATTTGCACTGGTATGCCAGCACTCACTATGCATATGCATACTGGTAATGAGCAAGAGGCCAGAAAGTCTATTCCGGCAGCACGGTGCCTGGAGCATGCACTCTTGCATCCATTCACACACGGACTATCCTGTTAGCTGTGTTCTGTCGCCATCAGCAGCATCAGCAGATATCATTAGTACAGCGGTCGTGTTGGCACGGTGTGGGCTTCTTCAGCAGGGCGCATGTAATGTTTATGTTACAGAGTGGGCGGCTTCTGGGCCAATCCGTGGCCAATGTGCGTGGTGGCGGGTTTCACTCCTGCTGCACCCACGTATGCCTCCAGGGTTCTGCCTCCCAACCATATTGAAGCTACACAGCGTTAAGGCAGTCGTGCCGCCGGCGAAATACCCGCATGCCCAACAGCTGGTCGAGCTGGGCTACCAATATGCGGAGGTAGGTAGCTAGGTTGCACACATGACCACCACATCGCCTGCGTGCTCGCAACATTGCCTTGTGCTCCCATGACGGCCTGCATGGCAGCTTGCTTGCCTAGAGGTAACATGTTTCTGTTATAGAGTGGAAGGCTTCTGGGCCAATTAAACACTGCCGTCCACCATTTTCACACTGTTCTAGGCATACGAACTGGAAGTCCAAGGCGGATGATTCTGCCTAATAGAATCCCTCATCATCATGTCACCCGAACATCCATAGACAGAGGGTTCAGCGATCTCACCACCGGTCCTGCATGCGAATCTCGGTCAATGAACTGTGACCTCAATTCCTCCGCATCTAGCCATTTTCTCACATTCCCGACAATGTCGGGGGTCTACCCAGGAATCAAATCCAACCTAAAACCGCAAATTGCAGTAGTGCTTCCAGACCAGACCAGACTGGGGAAATTGTAGCATCAGGCAAAGAGTATTCACGGGAGTGGGATGCCAAGGGGATCTGATCCCTCCTGATATTCCTCTTTCCCTTCAAGTCTAGGGCGCCTCGGGGCATATCCTGTAGGGCTTTTGCTTACGTATGCATTGATCACCTTGCTTGTTAAGCCTTGATCCCTGCCTGCAACAGGGTGGCTGCCGCAATGGGTCCTCCGTGCCGCCACTACAACGATGCTGGCCAGATGCTGGCCTCGCAGTGGAGGTGGCGGGTGAAGGCATCCGCATTGACCCGTCCTCAGACCAGTCCGTCTCTTCGAACACCATATTCTATCTTCAGAATGCCATCTGCCTGTGTGAGCACCCCGTGAGCATCGCATGCCTCACAGAGCCGCAGGTCGAACCCATGGTCTGCTTCAAGGAAACCATGCGCCAGTTTGAGAATGTCACGACGTCTTTCTTAGACGATTACCGACCAGATCTGCAGCTTCATGCCCTAGATGGTAATGCCTCTTCACCACAAGTGAAGCAGACGCAGCGGCAGGACAGCACACCGCCGCCGGCAAGCGGCGCGGAGGAAGACCAGGCCCGCAGCCGTGCAGTGGTAGTAGGGGCTGCAGTGGCAGGTGGGAGGGTGATGCTGGACAGGGCGGGGTGGGCAGAAAAACAGCGGAGTGCATATTCTGCACATGCCACGTGCCACATGCCAGGCGGTCCGAAATGCTGTGCAGGGAGCATGTTTCTTTCTCCTATCGTTCAGGTTACGTTTCTAAATATATCCCTGGAAAGGCCATTCCTTAAGGACAAGACAAGGATTAGAGATCGCAAGGTTGCAGATCAAATCCAAGACGGAACAAATGGTTTAAGGAGTGCAGCTTGTATAGCCTGGTAGTAGGGTTCGAGTCCGCCCCGGCTACTGATGGCGGGTGGCTTGAGCATCCAACCAGATGCCAGTGGGCACGTGCCTACCATGAGATCACATGTACACATGCAGACATGAGCAGACATGCAGGTCATGACCTGTTCATGCACGCAAACTTCACGTGTATGCAGGGACCGTGGTTACCGTGTCCCTGTTCGCGTTGATGGTGGCGGCTGCAGTGCGCTCGAAGCGGCTGCAGGAAAACTGCAAAGACGTTGGTGGCAGTCGCGCGACCATGAACATTCTTTCTTTTTGGACGAACATCTTCGGTCGCAGCTGCCTTGAGTCGAGAAGGTAAGGGAGATTGATTTTGTCACACACACATACACTCATGCACATACACACCCAGTTGCTCCCACCACCCAGTTTTTCTTCTCCACTACAGCGCCGCTTGTTTATACGGGTTCTTGATATCACGCTTCTGTTCAACATTCAAGCAACGATTACCGTTTCCTATTGAAAAGTTTTAAAGACTTCGCTGGACTACGGAGCTCACTTCTGTAAAGTTATTCTCTGGTACCCCCATCGGCACTTCCCTTATCGCGTCTCAGATCATTAGAACACATGCACACGCACGCTTTTGTGAGAAGCTAGCAACGGATAGCCCTATTTGTGTAGTAGCTACGAGTTTGTGATAGGGGAGCCCGCCCTAGATCATTAACTGGCGCGGTAGCAATCCTTTGTGTGGGATGGTGTGTTTGGGTCATGCCTTCCTAGTCGCTCACCCATTCATAACAAACGCTGCTGGTCACCCACGTAAGCCGGCCGTCGTGCATCATGGCTGGTATGCTTGCACTTTTCCTTCATGCGACGTCTGCTGCCGCTAGCTCTCAGCTGTTCCCCATCTGGCCCCCATTGCTGCTGTATGTAACGTATGTGTGTATCTGCCAACAGTTGCAATGGCCCAGCCTCTGAGCTGAACATTACTGTTACTGCTTATGAGAACGGGAGCGGCGTAATCAGGGCCTCATCTGCGACCCCTCCTAACCACCATCCCAAGTCAGGCGAGTCCGCCAGTCAGCGAGTTGCGACCTGGCTGCTGTCTGGCTGCGTTGCGTGCTGCGGCGTCCCTGCCTGACAGAGTATATTGCTTAGGTCGTCAGATGATGAGGTACTTCAGTTCTCGGCAGTGATTACCATACAATGTAACTACGAATATATGCTGCCTGCTGCCTGTCCATCCATCCGCCATCTATAGCCGCATGGTTAACATCCCTAACCACTGCTGCACGCAACCGCTCACCCTTGCATGTCCTTCCCTGGTACGGCTATTCCGCTTACCACCCTACTACTGCAATACCAGAAGTTGCAGTGGAAGTAGAGGAAGTGCAGCCTGGCGAGCAGCAGGTGGTCGACACCGAGCCGACCGTGGTGACGCCTCTGGAACAGGCTGCTGTGGTCATCACCCCAGACACGCGGCCACAACCCAACCTGAAGCTGTGTGTGCGGTTAATGGACCCCGCTGCTGATGTTGAGGCTGGCGACAGCAGCAACAGTCCCACAGCAGGTGCCGTCACGGGTCTCATATGCCTGCACTCGAAGGAGGAGGAGGTCAGCGGCAGTGGCAGCGACAGTGCTGGTGGTGGTCCTCCCTGTCATGGTAGCAATGTGGTGGAGCTGTCTCCGGTGGTACGCGGCAAGGGCACCTTTGGTCGGGTGGTGGAAGGTACTTACCGGGGCCAGCGAGTGGCGGTGAAGCTTCTGGCCAGCGAGGGCCCCTGGGGATGCCCCATCGAGGCCTTCGCCTCCAGCTTTGCGCAGGAAGTGCAGGTAGGGTGCACGGGGGTGGGTTAGGGGTAGGTGCGGCTGGGCTTGATTCCCCCCACGTCACGCATAACATACAGGCACGCGCTCGCCAACCAATGCTGTAACCGCACGCCACCCCTCGCAAGTCCGCTCTTGTAGGTAGCCAGGTGTGTCTTGCAGTGACGAAGTGGTGCATGCTACTGGTGCACTACAGCTCCTGACAGTGACTTCGTACATCGCCCTCGATCCGTACACTTAGGTGCTGAGCCGCTGTTATCACCCAAATATTGTGCGACTGCTGGCGGCCTGTGTGGAGTCGCCGCGGCTGTGTTTGGTTCTGGAGCTTATGGAGACTTCACTGGAGCGCCTTATGTACGGAGACCCGACAGCCCAGCCGATGCCATTGCCAAAGGCAAGCTAGTACGCCATATGTATGACGTGTATATAACTGCACCAGGAATGGAGCTGATAGTCGACGTGGTGATATTGGGTGCCGGGTGCAGGTTGGTAGGTGGTAGGTGAAGAGTCGTCGCGTTCCTCCTTCACGCTCTCACCCACCTGCCTGCCTGTGCATGGTTCGGGTGTTCATCCCATCACTTAACCAACCAAGCAGCGCCCTGCACGCACGACCAGGGCGCCTAGGTGTGCCTGCATCCATCCATGCCCCATCGCTCCTGCTGCTGTTGTTGCTGCTATTACCCCATCAGGTGCTTCATATCGCCATATCCATTGCCAACGCGCTGGCCTACCTGCACCCCACCATCAGTCACCGGGACCTCAAGGTACGGAGTCGTACAATTGCTTGTAACTTGTACATTTCGGTGTCGTTCGTGTAGCGGCTAGCTAGCCAGTTGTCGGCGAAGAACGGACATCTCGCGCATTTAAGTGTATATGGCTCAGGAAATTAGGAACGATTCAGCTCAAAAGTACTAGACCTGCTCGGCGCCTTCACCTTTGCTGGACCCCTCCTTCCTATCGCTACCTGATACCCCCTCCTCTCGCCCTTGCCCTAGTCCCACTGGTGCCTCTGATGTGGTGCTGGGGTATGGGAGGCGTGGAGTGCATCCGCACTTGGAGCTTCATGTGGCTCATTTCTGACCTCCCTTTTGCCCTATCGTCCCTGTACCTTCTGCCTGCCCTTCTCGCACCTATCAGCCTGCCAACGTGCTGCTCAACGACCCCCACAGTGACCTGCCCACAGTTAAGCTTACGGTACGTGACTTGTTGCGAGTTGAGGAACTGAAGAAAGGGAAGCCACGTACAATGTGGCCACATTCCATTTGGCACCTGCAATCAATTCAGCGGAGGTAGCCCCAATGCGTCTCAATATTGTGTGTGTAGACGCATGTACCAGTTACATGCCGTATAAAGCTGCCCATTACTCTATCGATTCCTGCAGGACTTTGGGCTGTCTCGGCTTCGTGTGACGGTGGCTCCAACGGAGCATCCGGATGCGGGCACGGTGAGCGGGCGGGTGGCGGCAAAGTAGAAAAGGCGACAAGGACCGCAGGATTGAGGGAAGTTAGACGGCCAGGACGGGGGCATTGGATTTACACAATCCAAATACGACGAATTGGGGCCCTATGGTGGGACTAACTGTACTCGGCTCCACAGTAGCTCAGGAAACCTCATAGTGAGCCTCTATCTACTCGCCTGGGAAACCCTCATCTACCGGTTTTATGTAACGGTGTGTACGGCACTTCTGATGGTTTTAAATGTAACAACAAGTAGCTGGTACACAGTACGGCACACAACGTCTACAAATACGCGCTAAGCGCGTCCACCAGCATCTCGAGAGGCCTTTTCAGTGGCCACCTACTACACAACCCTTATCATAAATTTATGGCAGCCAGCATAGCATGGCCACGTTTCGTAGGCTTCTTTAGGTGCTTTCGGTAGCCGTGGTGGTGGCGACGGTTACATCATGCATAGTTTGTGCACGTGGGCGCCGGCCAGCCATTCCTCTCTACCAGACTAAAACCGAATGATCTTCTCACCCCCCTTATCAATAATCGCCGTACGTTCACTCTACCTGGGCCGGACTGCTCGCCCATTCAGCCCGCCTACATGGCACCGGTGAGTTCATTCACTGTGTTGGGGTGATTCATTATTGATGTCATCGGGGTTCTGTGGCTTAAGGGGCTGTGGCTGGGGTTGGGCCGGGTGCTTTTGTCAGCTGTTCATCAGCTGCTCTGCTAATTACCTTGTTGATGATAGGACAACTGGCTAGAGTCCCAGATGATAATGATTGCCCTGAAAAGCATTGGGTCCTTACCTTGCCCAATGGAGACACACTCATCCTTCTCAACCAGGCCAGCTTCTGTAACTATTTTGGACTCAGCACCCACGACCAGAATCCATAGTAATCTGACGGATCAATGGCGGCGATAACTCTTTTCCAGACTCTTAGGTCAATGGATTTGGTTATTACGCCATTAATTAGCAGGAGGGCACATTCACCTTTCATGATCGTGTGGTGAGTATACCTGCACTGTCTGGATCGAATCTGGATGGAACCGTGCAAAGGACACAATCCGTCCCTGTATCTTTAGAATCGGCACAGTTTGTATGCTTGAAATGGTTCCCATTACGTCTGCCACCTTTACCTGCACCTGTGTACATGTTTACCTAACTGCCTTCGTTCCTCGAACGGTGGGGTGAGGTGCCAACGCCAGGCGGAACCCATATGGGTTATGCATAACCTCTACACCCCGACATCTTTGTACGCGCCTTTGTTTAGGCTGAGGTGTATTGTCAGTTTGTATTTATACGGTTTATTATATGTGTTTCTCAGTTACCTAGTTGATAATGGGAGAACTGGCTAGAGTCCCAGATTATAAGAATGCCTTGCGTCCTCTTGAAAGCATGAGGTTGGACACTGTAAACCGAATCTGTATGGATGGATGGAATGTGTACGGAGGATGTGCGGGACAGGCGGGCATATCATCACCCGTGGCCGCTACCTGGCAGACCCTGCCTTCCACGGTATTTCGGGGGACCCTCATCTTGTCACCCAAGTCAACTTCTCAGTGGATCGCTTAAGTTCCACACCCAACACCAGCATCCAACGGAATCTGCCAGATCGACAGTGGCTCAATGCCATTCCTGGTCGGCTTGCGGGTCTGCTTTGTCCCGGGCACATTACCTTCCACCATTGGAAGGATTTTCGAGGCTGACAGGTCTCGATCCCGGGATCTCCCGGGGGCAATGGTCCGTGCCTTACCAGTAGTTCCTAACCTGAGTAAATATGAATGTTTGTATGAAGACATGTTTTCTCATTCCGCCTACCTACTTTACCCATGTCTGCCTATGTCTAGGTTTCTCTATCTGCTTGCTTCTTTCATACATACCGAAGCCCTGGTGCCACCCAACCAGTGTTTTTTTTAAGTAATATATTCCTTAAAAGGAATAAACAGGCCATTTTGGCCTTTGGAAAAACGGAATGAATTGAGGCAGATCCGTACATTTTCATTCCTCCAGCCAAAAACGTCTATTGCTGCCAGATTGCTCCGTAGTGTGCAGAGCTTAGTGTTATCAATCATAGAATAGATTTGAGGGGCCGTAAGAAGGTCAAGCCCGTGAGTCAACACGGCATAGCAGAATGTATGACCGGTCCTCACATAGCCAAACACGCAAAAAGCAACGACTCAAACGTGGAACAAACACCAAAACAGCCTGAAATTTTCCCTGATAAAGGCGTTTGGGACGGCGGTGCTGTTGTCGGTAATGCATCGGCAATGGTGTTGCTGCCAGCGGCGACCGATGACACGGGCCTGTGTGCCATGACCCTGCCTTCCACCTGTTCGACCTGGGCACGTTCCCGTTCCGTGACGCACTGAGGAAGTGGCTGGACAGCAGCAGCAGGGGCCGGTACATGATGAACCGGTGGAGTCCTAGTGTGCTGTGGTTTGCAGTGGCGGGTGACGGCCTGTGATTTGCTATGCGGTTGCTTGCTTTGGGCCTTTGCTTGGTCGGATTTACTTATTGCTCACAAACAGTGCCAGAACTATCTATGCATGTGCATGAAGAGTGCGCACATGAACGGAAACGCGCCAACTCAGTGCGTGCCTCTTGGTCTATGAGGGGAGTTGTAACTTATCGGGGGGTGGTCTGGGGGGGGTGTAGCCCCCCCCAGCGCCCCACACGGAATAAATTACGGCGACCCTAGCAACTTTGTTACTTAGGTTGGAATAAATTGAGACCCGCCCTAAATGAAAAAAATCACTGCCCCAACTCCCTCCCTTGCTGCTGCACATATGCCCGCACGCAGGAGTGCTTCGACTTGCAAAACAGACAGGTCACACATAAAGCGGTGAGGGAGGGACCCAGTGACGGGGTGCGGGAGAGAGGGGCAGGGCGGATGAGGGGACCTATCTACATACCGCGGTGCGGGAAGGGGTATCTCGTATCCCAGATGCAGGTCGTATCCCAGATGCAGGGACCTATCAGGCCGACGATTTACGTGCCCTGAGTCGACAAAGTCGATCACCTAGGCTACTTGACTAGCTAGCGGCCTACACTACAGACCACTTTTGTGCTTATCCTGTGCCCGGGTCCAGCAAGCAGGCAGGCTAGGCCGCATCGTGCCACAACCTAGCCGCCCCCGCCATCACTGACAAAAAGGCAAGCAAGCAATGGCTGGCGTCTCTGCATGGTCAATGTATCCCATGTCTCTCATCATGGCGCCGTAGCCATCATGTTTATGTGTGTGTGGTGGTGGTACTGACGCCTCCGTCATCGCCACAAGCCTTGCTGCACCCTCACCAGGATACGTTCTCGCTGGGTGTGCTGCTGTGGGAGATGCTGGCCTGCAAGAGGCCCTGGACTGGACTGAACCCGCTGGAAATCGGCGTGATGGTGGGTGCAGGCTCCGGCTCATGACTGATGGTGATGGTCTGATCACAAACAGTCTCATGGTTGCAGTGGCATGCTGCATGAACCGGCCGTTTATCTGCTGCTTTAGACCGCTAGCTCTCCTGCTGACCACCTGGTCTGGCAGGAGCCCTGCAAGTGTAAAGACACGTACGGAGGTTCAATGACCCCTCTATGATAATACGCAACAGTCCAGCGGACCAGTGTGCACGGACATCTGGGACCCTGCAGGACGGGCAGCAAGGTTGCAGGTCCTCCCTCTGTCCTGGGTTTCCATCCAGCGAAATATTCGGGAAGTCCCAGCCGCTACTCAGCGTGAATATGTGTCCACATATACAGGTAGCGCTCAACGGTATGCGCCCTCCCTTGGATGAACTCCTGGTCTCCGACCGCTGCCCACTCAAGCTGTGTCGTCTGCTGCTAGCCTGCTGGGAGATGGATCCGGACCGACGGCCGGCGGCTGCGGAGACAGTCAAGGAGCTGGCGCTGATCCTGGTCAGTAGTGAAAAGGGGCGGATGAGCGAGACAGGTTCGACATTCATAGCTAGGAAGCTGCAGAAAAGGAGGGACCGGTATTGCATATGGTCATACAGTCGTTTAGCCAGCAGCCGCACTTCCTGCCTGCTTCATCTGTAGCACCTGAAAACCGCCCGAGGGATCTTGGGTTATCCTGCACTAATTTTGGGGCTTGATTCGTAGGCTTAGGTAGTTGCGGGCGCCTGTAGAGGGAAGCAACAAGTTAGCAAAGGAGGTCACCGCGAGCAGGGGGCCAGGGGGTTGCTGCATGAGCATGGGCAGGTAGGTTGGAAGGCGGATCCTGGTCGGGGCTGTTTCGTGCTGTCAGCTGCACATTCGTCTTATGCGAGCAACAGGTGCATAGAAGCGTTTCCTCATGCCATATGGATAATTTATTCAGGGCTGTCTGCGGCAATTAGTTTGGGCCTACACATCTACCCACCAGGCCCCGCACCAGGCTTGTAGCTCGTCGACCGTGCGTGGTATGCACGCTGTTCTGTGCTGCCGCTGCACTCTGCTTGCCTTTCCATTCCACATAAGTTCCCTAACACAGATGCACCGTGGTGAACCCGCCTGACCTGCAGCAAGGTCAGCAGCTTCAATTCAAACAGCAGCTGGTGCAGTCCGTACTGGATAGGACAGGACAGGAAGGCGGCGGTGGCCCTTGTTTGCAGCCACCGACTGCTCCTCGGGCTGAGTTCACTGCTGCAGCCGCTGCTGATGCTCGGGATGGTGATGTTGCCCCTGCCTCGCTGGCGCACGGACCGCAGCAGTCCGTTGCCTGGTTATAGCTCTCGGATATCAGCAACCCCTCATCTTCCAATTCACTATCATAGACAGGAGGAGAAGCTCGAGGAGCAGCAGCAGCAACAACAGCACCAATTATGTCCGCAGGATCCTAACTGTTTTCTGTTTTTCATGGATCAGTTTGAAGTTTACTAGCTGGGTCCATAGATCCTGCCTGGCTTGCTCGCAAGTGCATGGTTGCATCTTTCTAGGCTTGGGCTCGTCCGGCCAGCATCATGTATGTCTTGTGTAATTCATGTCTGAGATGCATTGCTCGAAAGATGTGTCTAGGCGCGCTGGCGGCCTGTGCGACATGCTTAGTAACTGCCCCGCCAGCGTCCTCCGTGTACGGCACCCGGTCCAGGCCTTTGCCCCCATAGAAGTCCCTTGCCAGCGCTAGGGGCCTGAGGCCAAAACACACACCTCAGGTGCCCTCCCTGGCAGCGTGGCACTAAAACGAACTAGAGGCCGCGGTCACGGAGGATGGCCGCCGACCTGCAAAATAGTCGTCCATAAATATACTCTAGGTTTACTTTTTCCGGCACACACAGTCGTAGGCATATGGCTTCATTCGATACATATATACATAGGTTAGGCACTACTGCTAAGGCACGGACCATTGTCCCCGAAGATCCCGGGACCGAGTCCTGTCAGGGTCGAAAATCCTTCCGTGGTGGAAGGTCAAGTGTCCCTAGTCGATGGACGGTGGTGACCTGGGATAACGTTGACTCGCGAGTCGACCAGGAACGGAGTTGAGCCACCGTCGATCCGGCAGATTCCGTTGGATGCGGGTGGTGGGTGCGGAACCTAAACGATCCACTGAGAAGTTGACTAGGGTGACTAGATGAGGGTGCCCCGAAATACTGGGGAAGGCAGGGTTTCGCCGGGTAGCGGCCACGGCCCAATGGGAGCATTCCCCCATAGACAGCCCTATAGACCCCTACTCCCCGTACTAATCGCTGGATGGCCCGTTATGGCTTGAGCCGCTAATGGGCCTGTCCATTTTGATGCCGTAACGGGGGTCTATAATGGGGGGCCCCGTAAGGGGCCAGAATAGGTGGGGGGTGTTGTATCCTGTAAAGGTTTTCCTGCAACGGTTTGGGCGCCGAATCCTAACTGTCGGTGGTTAGCTCGTCCACTCCGATTTACCAAACTCCAATATTACTAACTAACTCCCGTCAATTCCGCGGTTGGTGATTACAGGTATTAACTAATACTGATATTAGTTTAATTGCGGCTACTGTTAGCTGCGGCGGCTAAGCGACTACTGTTAGTCGTCCGCCATCTAAATGCCGCACTGTTGCGGAAGTCCATAGGCGCCGGCGGATCAAACGACTACTGTTAGTCGTCCGCCATTCAAGTGCCGCACTGCTGCGGAAGTGTATGGGCGACGGCGGCTAAGCGACTACTGTTAGTCGTCCGCCACCTTAATGCCGCACCACTGCGGAAGTCCATACCTACGTATGGGCGGGGGTTTTACTTACGTAAAGCTGGGACCTGCGTCCCAGTTTCGTCTGACCGAGCGAGAGTAGTTCCTGCGAACTATGGCTTCTGGATTCGGCGCCGCCCAGTCGTACTGGGAATCCTTATCGGCGCGAGGCCCAAGTGGAGTCACTGATGACTACTTATTCAAGACACTTGTCTCAATCGGTATCTTTCGATGCCCCCATTATGTGGTTGTGTCGTCTGAAGTCTACAACAGGGGGGCCATTACTGGGGGGCCTGTTATAGGTGCAGGACAGGGCGTTTATGGGCCCGAAAGGGCCGTAATAGGTCCTGAAGTAGAAGTACAGCACTAAGGCAGCTGCTGGGTGTCCTGTAGATGTTTCCATTATATATGGACCCTAGATTAGGCTAAGGTTAAGCACGCCCTATACAGTTGGAGGGGGAATACTTAGGGTTTCCCGTGTTGGGCCATATTTTCTGAGCCGGAGGCTGCAGGCCGCGAGGATTCACGACTAGCACCCTGTCCCCCGTATTCAAGAAAGGGGACGTGTCATGCTGTGACAATTACCGGGGAATAGCAGTTGGGGGTCCCCTGTGCAACTTTACGCCAATATCATCGTGAGGGCAACACCAATTACTGTGAGGGCACCAATTACTGTGAGGGCAACAGGCTACGTGCCGCTAGCCAGGCTGGATGTAGGCATGGTTTTGGCACCGAGCATCACTTGTTTACATTATTTAAGGCATCTTATCTCGAGGCGCACTGTGACTGGAGCCAGGCCGCTTATTATCATGCAAATTGACTTTAGTAAGGCGTTCGACTCCGTTGACCATGAGACACTTTGGGATTTCCTCATGTCGTATGGGCTACACGGGCGCATCTATGATTGAAAATACTAAGTTCTGCACACAACGGAGCAATCTGGCAGCAATGGACGTTTTTGGCTGGAGGAATGAAAATGTAAGGGTCGGCCTCAATTCATTCCTTTTTTCCAAAGGCTAAAATTCCTGTTTATTCCTTTTAAGTAATATAATACTTAAGAAAAACACTGATGCCCCAGCGACTACATCATGTGCTCATGCGTTTCCGGTTAGGCTGTTGGGAGTTAGAGGTTAATAGGCCTAATGGGCGTGAGCGCACCGCGCGTAACTGCAGGCTTTGTGACTGTGGAGCGGTTGAAGATGAGTTGCATGTTTTCGAGGAATGTCCCGCTTACAAGAGCATACGGGCTAAGTATGATGGTGATCTAGTCTTTAAGGGGCGCAGCATGCGCACCATTATGACTGAGGCGCCACCCCTGGCATTGGCCAGGTACGCCACTTTTTGAATGGCTATGGGTTTGAATGTGTGAATCTCGACCCGCGAGTTGGGATCCAAGCTTGGCTTGAGTACGACACTTTTTGAATGGCTATCGGTTTGAATGTGTGGATCCCAACCCGGATCCAAGGTTTTGGATGGATATCGGTTTGAATGTGTGGATCCCAACCCGCGGTTGGGATCCAAGCTTGGCTTGAGTACGACACTTTTTGAATGGCTATCGGTTTGAATGTGTGGATCCCAACCCGGATCCAAGCTTAGGTTTTGGATGGATATCGGTTTGAATGTGTAGATCCCAACCCGCGGGTAAACCAAGCTTGACTTGAGTACGACACTTTTTGAATGGCTATCGGTTTGAATGTGTGGATCCCAACCCGCGGGTTGGGATCCAACAGGAATCCATCCCCGTTCTGTGAAAACATGTGAATGGTTGAATGGCCGATAGTTCAAAGGTGTGTTTTCCTAACCATTCAATATCTGTGAATTGATCCCCGCACAGTGTAAGGTACCCCGAATAGCTGACATTAATTTGTGGATCATAACCATTTAAGATCGTGAAACCATCTCCATACAAGGCAAAGTAGTTTCAAAGGCTGTAATCTCAAACTGTGGATCAAGGGCTGTCCACTCCATTTCCCAGAATGCAGAAAGCAATCAGCAGTCGACCCTAAGCTTATTTCCAAAAAATGCGCAGTGCTATTATAACAAGTATAAATTACGAGACAACTTCAGGGAATTGCCTCGGGAAGGAGGCCACTGGTGAAGCTGTACCACCCTGTAACAACATCAACAACTTCACTCTGCAGATTGACATTCGCAGCGCTACTGTAAAAGATGTGATATCCCTGGACAGCCTGCATGCAGCCAGCTTTACCCTATAGCTAATGACCAAAGCATTCAATGCCGTGTAAAGTACCACATCAACTCGCAATGTACAGGACTGATTCCTACACGGAGTTCAAATTTGTTCCTCTTCTGCTCTCTCATGAAAGATCACTGCCTTCCTTCCATGGTGGACTACCATGATCTGTCGCTAGGCCTTTTTTGGCAGTGCGTTACAGTGTTAGGTCACCCAGCCCAGCAAATTCTAAGTAACCCCCTTAAGGAAGCTTCAAGGACAGCAACCTCGTGCATGAAAATTTGGCCAAACCCAGCTGGGTATCCTGCAGGATTACCCCGCTAACTTAGAAGGCGTCCTCAACATTAGCCTATTTCGGGGTCCTTGCGGCGTCCTGTGATGGCAGCATCCTCAGGATATCCATCGGCCACAGGGCCAGCAACATCCTGCTCAGGAAATATGGCCCAACCCTCACACTCTTTGCGATGATTTATCCGCCACACAGCGATAAAGCCGGTGCCGATACCTTCCGTTAGTCAGTATTAAACCACTGACCCACAGATTTCAGCGGAAGTCGTGCGGTCCGATCTCGATACCATTGTAGCACAGCAAAGGCGTAACCCGGGATTCTCATATGGGCCTTGCGTTGTTACATTAATGATGCTGATGCCATCCTCAACCCTCATCGCCACGCTCATTGTGAAACGCGAAGGCGGCAATAATGCAAATGGCAACACTACGACGACAACCTACAAGACAAGGGTGGTGGACCTTCCCAGGATGGTGCTGCTGCAGCAGCAGAAGTACAACAAATAGCATAACAAGCAGGTGGCTGGTAGAGGTTAAGGCCTGACTTCTACTCCCGGAGCATCCGGGTTCAAATTTACCTGCACTATGACGACGGGTGATCGCGTTAGNTCGCGTTAAATTCGCGTTACGAGGCTTTAACGCGAGTTTAACGCGACGNCTAACGCGATGTAACGCGATCTTAAGCACTGATAACGCACCGGTTCGCTTGTGCGTATGGCCTAACGCACATCATCTTTATTCGCATGCGAACGAGCTGAGTAATTTTGGCTGGCAGTGCGTTAGCTTAAGCAACTAACGCAAACTAACGCAAACTTTACGCGATCGTAAACGCGACCAGGTGACTTTTAACGCGAGCGTTACCTTACCTATAGGTGTAACGCATACGCAAGCGAATGGCATACGCGGCTGCGACTGGTGCGAATGCGTATGCATATGCGAATGTGGCGAATGATATCGCGAGTTTTACGCGACCCTAAACGCGACCAGGTGACTTTTAACGCGAGCGTTAGCTTAGCTATAGGTGTAACGCATACGCATGCGAATGGTGCGAATGCGTATGCACATGCGAATGTGGCGAATGAATTCGCGAGTTTTACGCGACCCTAAACGCGACCAGGTGACTTTTAACGCGAGCGTTAGCTTAGCTATAGGTGTAACGCATACGCATGCGAATGGTGCGAATGCGTATGCACATGCGAATGTGGCGAATGAATTCGCGAGTTTTACGCGACCCTAAACGCGACCAGGTGACTTTTAACGCGAGCGTTAGCTTAGCTATAGGTGTAACGCATACGCATGCGAATGGTGCGAATGCGTATGCACATGCGAATGTGGCGAATGAATTCGCGAGTTTTACGCTACCCTAAACGCGACCGGGTGACTTTTAACGCGAGCGTATCGCCAAACGCAAGGGATTGCGAATGGCATACGCGACTGCGAATCCTGCGAATGCATGTGCTACCATTTGAATTTTACGCGAGTGACTGCGACTTGCGTGCGGGACTGCGAACTGTACGGCCAACCGTGCAATACAAAAGCTTTACAATAGCAGTACACGAGCTGTACAAAGTGCAAAGTGCACCGCCGTTGCACATGACCTGCAGGTTCACAGCTGTGAACCACAGCACTCACTGCTTTCTTCATACATTTGAACTATCCCTGAATGACAGGTACGAATTCATAGCAAATCCTAACATGACCGAGGCAACTCAGCCAGCAACTCTTACCATGGAAAAGGGTCCAACAGTCTAACGTCAGAAAAAATCGACACACAAATGTTAAGCGCATGTAAATGTACCACAATACATCCACTATTGTCTTCTTATTAAAGCGCTCAATCCTCGCCTCCGCTGATGTCATCTTCACGAACGACGGCATATATCTGCATATGAAAGGATCACAACAAATCATTGTTTAGGCAGGAACACATAGTTGTGAGCATGTTACGTACAATGACGGCTGTAGGTGTGACACCGGCATAACGTGCCTCGAAATAAGGCAATAAAAAGCATTTAGTTAATAGCCATGGTCTTGCAACCAGAGGCTTCATACCTCCGAACGGCCGCTTCGTGGCCTGCCACGTGCCGTTTGAGCCCGACTCTTGTTCATATCCTTACCACCATCCTTGCGCTTGTCCTATTCCTTGCGATTCTCCTGCTCGTGTCCTTGGAATGTAAAATGACAAGGCATAATGTCAGTGTATGCACCTGCATGATGGCCACTTACTGCCGGTGGCGTCTAGTCCCCCTTTTCCTGCTTTCCCCTGCTTGCCTGCGAATGAATGCTGCGCCATTATAGAGGAAGAAAGACAGATTCTTGTTATGAAGATGCTAATTTATTAGGCTTTACCTTACACTGTCGTCATTGGAGGATCAGCGTGAGTATAAGCAATGCATACGCGCTAAACAACAAATTCAAGATAATCTTATTAGTGCAATGCGCGCA